GCAAGAAATGGAAGAGAGTCTCTCCCTGCCACCAGTACAATCCCACAGCTGCAACTTTTGCTAGAATTTGGGTTTGGCTGCGGCTGCTGCTGCTACAACTCCAGAGTCCTCTCCACTTTTGGAAGCCCTGATGGAGGCGGCACAGGTCAGCCAACCCACAATTTTTGTTTATCAGAATTTACTATCTGTGAATAAGTAGGAGGCACGGGGCCTCAGAGATGAATGAAACAGGGGATTAGACACCTCATCAGTGGATTGTGGTATTTGCGTCTGGAACAGAGTGGTCTGTGGATTGTAGGTTGCATCTCATTCAGCAAAAACTCCTTTTTCGGTTTCATTGGGTGCCCCGATGTCTTTTTAATACGGGTCTGTCCAAGACAACTTCCTCTTGCAGATGTTATCCCGCCAGTCGTTGGCTTGCACAGGTTTTGGCAGCGTTCAGTGATTGCTTCCTGTTGAGTGGAGGTTATAGTATGGATAAACTCGGTAGCAGGATGCTCTTTCGTACTTACTAATGCACACATTATTTTAAATTTTTTCCCTGCTGTATGGAACATAACATGAAGAGAATGTAAGTGGATTTGATGCCATTTTCATGACTAAAAGACTGGTATTACAACACTGGAGTGTCTGCCTCCTGTAACATGATGAATTGAGGCCTTAGCCATACTTTCAGTATTTGAACAGGCATTATTTAGACACCATCTGTGGACAGATGAATAAATGGATAAAATTGGCCCACTTCTTCTGAAGCTTTTGAATAACCATCTGTAATAATAGCTTTATTGTTACATGCTTAGATAAATTTCTGGATATGAGATTCATACATATCTATTTTAAGCGATCTATTTTAATTCCTCTAGGAAAACTATCTTTTTATTTTCTTTTATATAGTTTTTTGTGCTTTGGCAAAATTTACAGTAAAAGCATAATTTAAAAAATGCCTAGAGTGGAAATGAAGCCAATTCAGAGTGAGGGCCTCCTGTATTACACTACCCTCCTTCTGAATGTGCTAACATTTTAGTTAGACTCTTTCAGTCTCCCCACTGTCATGTTTCCTGAAGGGGGAAAAATTCCATGAAAAATGGGAGCCAAAAAATCAACCCCTCTCCCGACAAAGCATTATGCCTTACTGACTTCAGTGAAGTATGAGATCACCATTCTTAGCTTGGATAGCAGGGGAGAAATTCATACAAAAGGGAGAGAAAATTACTACCAGGGTAATTACAACAAGCAATCAAAACAGAATCAAATTGCTAGCTACCATTACAGTACTATACTATGACATTACTCCAGAAAAACAGTAAATCCAGCACCCATTTCCAAGCTGCTTTTCTTTAGAAGAACTCTATTCAGATTGTACAGATGTCTTTCCTCCATAAACTAGTGTTCCAATGAAAACTAAATGCAAGACAAATTTTCTGGCAGCAGGTAAGCAATAGGTAGTTGATCCCCATGCTGTGTTAGGAATAATGAGATTCTTCTGGCTCAGAATCTCAATTCTGCCTGTCTGCCGAGTGCAGAGTCTCCAACAAAATTCTTTTAGCAAAGGAATCGGGGGAAACACTGATCAATGCCGAGCTCGGCCAGCCCCTCCCAGACTTGATGGCAACTACAAAAGCCCTGCGGGTCTGTCTGGTGTAACTACACTGAAGAAAAGAGCTTTCGTTACAGGATGAATTTGGCCCACTGGGTTTGGGATTTACCTCCCAGAGGCTCTGGATCAATACCAAATAGAATGTGGCCCAGGAGCAAATATGGACAATTCACCACATAATTCTGTGTGCAGGAGGGGGGCGAAATGACTCTTAATGAGCAATATTTGTGCACCCAGAGCACAAACATAAATAAACCTAATGTGGTGCAATGTGGCTTCATCATATTTAATGAAGTGGCAGTTCCAAGAGCCGCTCAGTCATGCGACTGCGGCATTTCTGGGAAGCAGCTGTGAGCCGAGACGATGCCCACTGCCACGTAGAACAGCCGCAGGTGGCTTCTCCATCACTTTGCTTTCCTCCAGTGTTGGTCAATACACATGGAACAGATCCTTCACGATTTGTGTGTGTGTAGGGAAGGGTGTGCCTCTCATAGATATTACTTATTTATTAGATTTCTATCCCGCTTTTCCCCCAATGAACTCAAAGCGGCTTATAACCTTCTCTTCCTCCTTCTCTCAATCTTATCCCCACAACAGCCCTGTGAGGTAGGCTGGGCTGAGAGTCTGTGACTGGCCCAAAGGTACCCAGTGGGCTCCATAGCCAAGTGAGGACTAGAACCCGGATCACCCGAGTCCCGTTCCCGTTCCCGTGTTCTTAACCACTATAGCGCACTGGCTTTCTCTCGCTTTCTAAACAAATGGACTCTTGCTCATTTTCTTGGTGCATCAACCACAAAGATCACAAATTATCATGTTCCTTGGCTGGTCAATGACCAAATAAAGGATTGATTGATTGATTGATGATCATGTTCCATTCATAAGGCACTGCCAGGTCCAGGAAAACCAGCAAACTTAAATGATAATCTAGCAAACTTCCCCCTGGGAAGGGAATTGAGCAGATGGGCCTCCAGAGTGTTTATTAATTGTTGTCATTGTGGTTATTGTTCATTTGTGGAACTATTAACATGCCTGGAATTTTAAAGAGGAAAAACCGACAGGCAGGTGCAGCCCAGGGAGTCGCAGGCCAGCCTCCCTGGGGATGGCGGGGGCAAGTGTAGACAGGAAGAAGTGTAGACAGAGGGAAGTGTAGACAGCGGGAAGCTCGGTGCCCTGGCTTGTTCCACTTCCACGGATGCTGCCCTTTGGCCCTTTGCCAAAGCCGCCGCCATGTGGAGCCTTCTCAGTGAGAGGGGAGTGGCCAGTCGGCACCTCGCCACACCTGCCCTTTCAACAGCAGCCGTTTACTCCAGGCTAACTTTAGCTGTAAAGCACAGCACCTGGCCTGAAGCGGGTGCTCCAGGTGGTCAGGTGTCACGGGCCTTTCTGAGCAGGACTAAACGAGTGCTCCCTTTTAGTGGGTGGCAAGCTGCGACAGGATGCCAGATTGCTCGTGCGAGGACACAATGGCCCCAAACTGGGCCAACCGGACAGACGCCCGGGAAGGGCAAGCGCCGATCCGGCAGGTAGGGAAGAAAGCCAGTCCGCAAGGGCCGAGTGGGGAGAGGCACAGCCAGGGACCCATCCCACAGAAAGAGAAGACCAAGGCATGAAGCCCTCAAAGGGGAGCGGGGAAATCACCCAGCCACGTTCATTCGGACGGTCCTGCAAGAACCTCTGCTCCAGCAGGATTCAGGAGGAGCTAGGGAAGTCAGTGAGGTGGGAGCGACCATCACGGTCATCATAACCATGGCAATGATGCAAACAGCTCTCAGGAGAGCGGCCTCAGGAGCACAAGGACGTGCCCCTCAAACCCAGCCTGGGCCGGATGTGCAGCAAAGGCGCAGGCCACACCTGTTCCAGCTGGATGGCCTTCAAGGGATGTGCATCGAGAGGCTGACGTTGGGTGGGAAATGGGGGCCCAAACACTCAGCGTGCGTGCGTGGGTGCGGCTGCCCTTGCACGCGTATCCAGCTGAAACCGGGCTTCCCGCATTGGAATTTAGAATCCTTAGATTTCCTTGGATTCCATGCGTTCCCCTTGCTCTTCCACTCATTTTATTGACCACTTGTGGAACGCTTGTTTTTTATTTTTTATTATTTGTTTATTTAAACAACTTATATGCCGCCCCCTTCGCATAAGCCTCAGGGTGGCTTCCAATCATAAACACCAATATATAAATACATAAAATACATAAAATAGTGGAGACATCCTGGCAATTTAAAATCAATAAATAACATTCACAATTAAAATAACATTTGAACAAAAAGGTCTTGGCCTGGCACCAAAAAGCAAATAACGACGGCACCAGGTGGACCTCTTTGGGAAGCGCATTCCACAGATGGGGCACCACTGCAGAGAAAGCCCTCCTCCGGGTACTCACCCTCCTAATGTCTTTCACGGAGGGCTCCCGGAGAAGGGCCTCTCCCGCAGATCTCAAGGGGCGGGCGGGCAGATATGGGCACAGGCGCTCCTTTAGGTAACCAGGTCCCAAGACTTGTCTAGCACCTCCAGTCTAAGCCATCTTTCAGGTGTGCCCTGGGCATCGCCGGCACTTTTGACTACATAGCAGAATATTGTCAACCAAAACAATAGAATCTAATAGACTTTCTATAGTCACAGTTATCAGATTGGATTGCCAGCTTGCGGTGGGCTGGCCCGAAATACTGGCGCTAGCCAAACGCTACGCACCGGAATGACTTCCATTGTCTTTTTGCTAAACTTTTCAGCTGCCCAAATTTCAGAGCAACCCAACCACACAATCACGGAAATCACAGCAACATTCTTCTCCACTGAAACACTTGTTTTAGAATGCAGATGTATTTAGTCTGTCTGGGAAAGGTACCCTGGTGGGCAGCTGGCTGGTCAAGAGGCAGTGTAATGAGAAGGCAGTCCTTTCGCCAGATGACACGACCTGGGGGGCAGCTCTGAACCAGCCCCCCTTATGTTGACCTGCACTAACCCAGTCTGTCTCCTGATGTTGCACAAGAAACTTCTGTTTGAGCACCCTGGGGCAATGCCTGTGATGCAGTTAAGGAAGCAAAGCACTTTGCATATAGGAAGAGGTATAGGAGTCACCAGGAGCAGTGGCAATGGTCCAATTGCCCTTTACTCCCCTTGGTAGCGGAGTATAATTGGACTGAAAACCAGCAGCATCTCTTTGCTTAGTTCTGCCAAAGCAGCCTTCACCCTTCCGGCTGGATCCTGTGCTTGGGTACGTGGACGCAAATCCGATCCCACTCCTATGAATGTGCCTTGGGTTCCATCTTTAACCCTCTTCACCAAATCACCTGCGAATTTGTTTCCAGCACCTGTGTCATCCATGCGCTTCTGTTCTCTCTTTCAGGCCCTTCCAGGACTCAGCTTTCCAAGGCCAGCATAAAAGCGTCCTGCCCTTCTCGTGAACATGGGGCCCGACGGTGAAAGCGTGGCCCTGAGGAATATTCTCGTAGGCCTCAACTTGATGCTTCTGGGATCCGTTTTCAGACCGTTTGAGTGCCACCTGGAAGTGATGACGGAGAGGGTCAGAAGACAGGCCGGTGACGAGGAAGGGGGCTTTGCGAATACCACGCCACCCATAAAAGAGCAACCCATGGTCTTCAGCCACATCTACAACATTAACGTGCCTCTGGACAGCCTCTGTGCAACATCTCTAGAGGCTTCGTCTGACCCAGAGGTGAGTTCAGAAGACGACCGGATGACGGAATACACGGAGCAGACCTCCGACTCGGAAAGCCAGGTCACCTTCACCCACAGGATAAACCTCCCCAAACACACTTGCAAGTGTGCTGCCTCTTCCCGGGACATCCAGGAGCTGCTGAGCAGGATCGAGATGCTGGAGAGAGAGGTGTCTGTACTCCGGGACCAGTGCAACCCCAGTTGCTGTCAAGAAAGCGCAGCCACAGGTAGTAACGGGCGCCGTGAGGTCTTGCTGGGAGAAAGCTGAGAAATCTCAGAGCAGAGAGCGGACTGGAGGCTTGGAGAGGCAGAATTTCCCCTTGTATTTCCAAGAGCCCGGGAATCAATGGCCTTCAGCCTTTTCAGATGGGGAGCTCCTGTTAGATTTAATCCTAATTGACAACATCAGACTTTGCTTTTTTTCTCCCCCCGCCCCGCCCTCTCTCTTTCTCTTTCTGTTTTTCTCCTAATCTTTCCTTTTCTCTCTTTCACCTCTGCCTGCCACTCCTATCTCTTCTCCTCCGCATATGTCCATCATGCGCACCACAACATTCTGATAAGCAAATTTGCAAAAGGTTGGCTTGTTAGGAAAACTATGCGGTGGGTCCAGGCAATGTGATCACATGATAAAAGCTTCCTCAGGAAGTGCCACTGTGTCTTGGCCATGCGCACCATCAACCCTTCACACATCCTGCCGATAAAGTCCCCGCAGGTTGCCAAGGCTGCCCGGTCTCCATGCTTGGTCAGGTGGTTTTCACCTCCTCAAGCTTCCAGGAAAAATGAAATCTCAGGATGAGTTGCTAGGATCAAGGTGATGCATTTGGCTTGGCTTGACAAGAGCTTTTGCTAGTAGCTCCTGTCCCGTATTTAAGGTCCAGGTTGATTCCAACATCTCCATGGATGCTCGGCCGCTGTCCTGTTCCTCCGCCTGGCTCCGCTCCCTCAGGCCACACTCCTTGATCTGCTAGGTACCAGTCCTTGGCCAAGCACCCCTACCTCACCGATGCCCCACCTCGGGTTCTCAGAGCCCCAGCCCTGGGGACTGCACTGCTCCAAATCCGCCAGCTTCTTTCAGGACAGGGCAGCAAAAGCAAAAGGACACGGCCCCCAGATTGTGCTAGTCTTGACACCTTCTGGTCAGGGATGGCAGCACTAGGACGACCTGTTGCTGCTCGTCGCAAAGTCGCGTCCGGCCCATCACGACCCCATGGACAACACTCCTCCAGGCCTTCCTGTCCTCCACATCCCCGGAGTCCACCCAAGCTCACACTGACTGTTTCAGTGACTCCATCCAGCCACCTCATTCTCTGCCGTCCCTTCCTTCTCTTGCCATCTATTGTCCCCAGCATCAGACTCTTCTCCAGGGAGTCCTTCCTTCTCATTAGGTGGCCAAAGTATTTGAGTTTCATCTTCAGGATCTGGCCTTCTAAAGGGCAGTCAGGGTTGATCTCCTCTAGGACTGACCGGTTTGATTGCAAGATCCAAGGGACTCACAGGAGTCTCCTCCAGCACCACAGTTCAAAGGCCTCAGTCCTTTGGCGCTCAGCCTTCCTTATGGTCCAGCTTTCACAGGCATACATTGAAACTGGGAAAACCATAGCCTTGACTATACGCACTTTTGTTGGCAGGATGATGTCTCTGCTTTTTAGTATGCTGCCTAGATTTGCCATAGCTTTCCTCCCCAGGAGCAAGCGTCTTTTAATGCATCTTTTTTCTTTAAAGCATCTTTTTCTTTAAAGCATCTTTTTTCTAGGGTGACCTAGGAAGAGAGAAAATGCCGGGGCGTTCCCTACGTGGGCCCCAGAATTGACTGTCATGGGTTCCATGTGCCAGTTCATCTGGGCTTCAAACAGATTGCTGGAAACTGCCTCCTGCAGCCTGGATCAGAGTCCTCACTGCCCCCCCCCCCCACGGTGAAGCAGCATGGGCACTCGGCCACATTTCCTGCAACAGGCCCATTTTGGCAGAATCCCATTCTGTATTTCCCCAGAACCTGATGCTGAGGCTGAATGTGAAAGATTAAACACATTCAGGCAGAGCCTGGGAACAATTTTATCCTGTATTCTCATGTCGGATTTCTGGGACAGACTTCACACTCGGCAGCCTGCAAACATGGCAAGAAATGCCCAAGCAAAGAGAAGTAGCGCGCTCACACACCTGACACCTTAGGGTAATATCCAGGTGGTGGGGATTAAGGTTGGGGGATCTGTGCGAGCAGGTAAAGACTCTCCCCCCTGCTCTCCCTGGGAGGTTTGCAGGAGAGATGGGGAGGCGGCAAAGAGCGGTTCCTCCCCTTCCCCCTCCAATCTCCGCTCCCCAAATCTGTAGCAATCAAGTTCTCAGGGAAGACCCTGGGATTCAGCTCTTGCACCAAGCGCGGCCCATTTCAGGAGAGCGGGCAGGACTAGAGATGCCCTTTCCCAAACCAGCCCCCCTTTTGCGTGCGCACCCCCCATGTGGCACCGCAAGGCTGCTTTTACGCAGCAGTGGGGCTTGCACGGCGCAACAAGCCACAGGGTGCCAAGGGCCATCAAGGTGACGCTGCTGTTCCCCTCCTTGCAGGCCACCTGGATTACGCCCCTCACTGCAGCGGGCATGGCAACTTCAGCCTGGAGTCCTGCGGCTGCATCTGCGACGAGGGCTGGGCCGGGAAGAACTGCTCCGAGCCCCTGTGCCCGCTGGGCTGCTCCAGCCGCGGCGTGTGCGTCGACGGCCAGTGCGTCTGCGACGGCGACTACAGCGGCGAGGGCTGTGCAGAGGCCCGCTGCCCCACGGACTGCAGCACCCGGGGGCTCTGCGTGGACGGGGAATGCATCTGCGAGGAGGGCTTCGCTGGGGAGGACTGCAGCGAGCTGCGCTGCCCCGAGGACTGCTCTGGGAAGGGCACCTGCGCCAACGGGACCTGCATCTGCCAGGAGGGCTATGTGGGGGAGGACTGCGGCCAACTGCAGTGCCTCAACGCCTGCAGCGGGCGCGGATTCTGCCAGGAGGGGCTCTGCTCCTGCGAGGAGGGCTACCAGGGCCGGGACTGCTCTGCAGGTACGAAGGTGCCAGTTGCTCCGAGTGCCCCGCATGCCTGAGGCAGGCCAGGGGTCCTGCTTTTTGCTCCTGGCAAATCCAGCCCTGGATTTGCCCCTGCCGGACATTTCGGGGTGCCATTTAAAAATGCCGCGTCAGCACACTTCCCATCCCACCTCACAGGCCTCAACCAGGCTTCCCCAGCCTGGTGCCTTCCCGATGCCCTGGACTTCAGCATGCATCAGCCCCAGCAACGTCATTCATGGGCAGGAAGGCCAAGAATTGGGGCAAAGGATCCAGAGGGCACCAGGCTGGGGAAGGCAGATCTGAGCCGTCTCAAATACTCTACTGCACATGCCGTAGCTAATTCACAAATATACCCAGATCCATTGTGGGATTCGGTATTCCGTGAAATACCCCTGCGTGTTTCTCCAAGCAGAGGAGTGTCACGGGCTGCTTTTCTTGCAGTGTGCAGGGTAGGGATGCTGGAAGGTTTTGTCTGGCCTGCACTGCCAAGCAAACCGAGCTTGGTCCTGGACAAATTATATATATGAGGAGTCACCCTTTCATATTCTGACTGCTCCAAACTGTAGAATACAGTCCTTGCTCCAAAAATGCTCCCACTTGCATATTTTAGGGTACCATGAGTACGAAAAATGCACATATTTGTACTCATATTTGCAGGGGATGCAGTAAAAATGAGTTTTACAGGGGTTCTTTTTAAATTTCCAGCTGAAGCAGTTAAAATGGGAGTGAAACTGACTGGGGAATGAACAGATGCAGAACGGACACTAAGCCTAGGTTCACACCATTCCCACAGCCCACCATGGCTTATGTAAGCCACAGCAGGTTGTGGCGTGGGCCAGCCGCCATGGGATATTCAGCTCCCAGAGGCTGAATCGCCTTGTTCTCCATATCAGGTTGGCAGGGCTTTTGCCAGGCAGCAGCCCTCCCTAACCCTCCCATGGCTTCCTGAATGACCATGCAATGATCGCCCAAATGGCTGCAGAAAGCAATCGCCTTCCTCAGTGTGCAATAGCAGAGGGGCGCCAGCAGGGACCCCTGGAGGGAAAAGAGAGGAATCAACACCGCAGCTCAAGGGTGTTGAATCTTGGGGGTTATGAGGCTACCAACTGATTAATGAATTGTTATTTGATCAAGCCTCTTCCTTTTTACAAGTTAATTTATTTACATATATCCGCATATCAGCACCTCAACATAATTGATGCCTTGGGGGTGATTAGAAGGAGGCATATGATAGCTTACAATTTAATGAGCAAAAGACAAACACTCATTACTAGAAGGAAAGGCCACCTTTAATATTTTAGTACTTATTACAGTAACACATCCAAAGTAAAAGGGCCTTGAGAAACAATTGTGAGTGTAACTTGCTGATCGAATGCTGCCATCACCAATTAGAACTGAAGCTCCAAAGATTCAAACACATTTTATGCTGATTATTTGGAAGGCCAGTTTTAATTAGTGATGGTAACGCAATCCACGGGCTCCAATTTGTATTTGCCCTTGGTTGTTGAGTCTGCGTTGCTTAATCTCTTGATGGAACTTAAGCTAAAGCTTTCTGCCCTAAATACAAATGTACAGCTTCGAAGAGTGATGTGCCCACTTGGAGGAGGCTGGGGTGCCCCCAAACTGCTAGCAGAAAAGGAGCAAAGAAACTGGCACAATCTACTCCCATATTCTCTCTAAGCCACCCTGGAAAGCTGTGTGGCTAGAGCCACTCCTGTTGGGTCAGGACTAAGGGGAGGGGAGGATGGCTCAGTGGTTACGGGGACTTGTCCCATGCATTAGGACAGAGAATCTCAGACTCCAGCCCATGTGAATGTGAGTCAATCAACCTATAGGAGGTAAGGAATTTGCAAAGAGAGAGAATTGTTTACTCCTGTTAAGCCCCGTTGGTCCTATCACCTGGATGCAGAGAGAAGCCACATCATCAGATCTGGACATCTTCCTCCTAATCCTAGGTATTTAGGGACTCATAGGATTATATGTAGAAAGAGAAAGAGTTTGCTTTTGCTCTAAGCCACATCTTGGAAGACAGGAAAGGAAAGCCCGGAAGTGCAGCCCTCTTGGGAAAAAGCTGCGGAACCAAACAAACGTGTGATGAAAGCCTCGCCACAGATAGAGGCAGGGCGGCCGTGACCGACGATGATCGCGGCTGGATGGGCTGGGTTTAGGCTTGCCCACACAGCTCTCCCCCTGACAAAGGTCGTCAGCCCTTGGCCAGCACGGGCAGCCTAATGTTTTGTGATGGGCCTGAGAGACCTGGGATCCAAGGTCCCAGTTTTGCTCATGGGCTTCTCTATGCGAGTCCTTTCTCATGGACCCGTGAAAGCTCTCGGCTCCTTCCCATGAGTACTCACCCTCCCGATCTCACCCTCCCATTTCTGTGGCATGGCTTGGAGAGAGGATAAGGAGGGGATACATTTCAAAAGTGCGATAAACTGGAATTGCCAGCCTGTGTGATTCAGCAGTCATGACTGCATAAGACAACGTGTAGGATGGCGGAGAAAGCAAAAGCCCCGGGGAAAGGGAGCTTGCAAAAAGATCCCTCTCCCTCTCTCCCACAGAGAAAATGGAGGTGCGCACCTCTGTGAGGTGCAGGGCTAAGCAGGGAGAAGCCCTCAGGTGCGCATACCCGCAGCCCGGCAGCGCCTACTTTCCGACGTGCAGCCCCGATTTCCGATCAGGCGGGCTCGAAACTGTCAGAGGCAGGACTGTCCCTTGGCGAATGCCAGTTCCCTCGAGGGCACGGCAGGGGCAGAACCCTGGTGCTGCGTCCCACAGCCTCCGCTTGCTTTGGCGAACGCAGCCAACCCGCTGCCGTCAGGACGAACGGCGATGGCCAAGTTCACACGGTCCCCGGGGGAGAGAAGCTGCCCCGCGCGTGCTAGTTCCACCGTGGCGTGATTTGCCCCGTTGCTGTCCCAGAGCGCAGTGGGGCGTGTGGCCTGAACTCGGACGATGTGCATCTGGCAACCGTGGCCGTCCCCCGTCCAATGGCACGGTGACTCTGTCTTCCCACTTGGCCTTCAGGGCCATCATCCAAAGTGCTTTTCTGCTCCCGCCTCCCGCAGAGGGGCGATTTCAGCGATAGGTGCAAGGCACCGTTTGGTCTTGCTCAGTTAAACGACCAGGCCGGGGTCGGACTGGGGCAAAGGCATGACCGAGGGCGCATGCGGGTCCTAAGTCCGAGCCACGCCAGCCCCAGCTGGGCAGGTTGCCCACCCCCGTGGGCGTGCAGCGGGCAGCCAGGGCTCCAGGCAAGACTCCTCCAGGCGCCCCTTCCCGGCAAGGCCCTTTTCTCACCTCCGCAGCCTCCTCGCTCCCTTTGGGCCAAGTGCCCATCGCCGGGAGCAGAGGGAGAGTGTGCCCTGCTGCAAGGGCGGCTCCACACATCCCAGGTCGGCTAAGTGCGCCGGCTGCGCTGCGACACAGCACCCCCTCTTCACAGCAGGTGCCCACAGGAGAAGCTCACTCCGCAAGATTAACCCCAGACGGCCGCCCCGAATGATGCTAACCCCTGATCCCAAGCAGCTCTTCAAAGAATCGACTCTCCCCTGGTTCTCCCCAAGGGTAATTCATGCATGGCTATGCGAAGGAGGGTGGGGAATCCGCAGGATCCCTGGGCTCAACCCAAGTTCCTGGAGAGCACCCAGCCGTCGGGAGCGCTCCCCAGGAACTGAGCACGGCCACGGTGTGGGCAGCACCCTCTTCTGCGCCCGCCTTTGCGGTGCTGCACGCGACGTGGGAGGAGGCGGCCAGCAGCCTTCACTCCTGGAGTGATCGCAGACTCGGTCGTGCCCGGCTCGCCCTCCAAGGCCAGGCTGAGCTTCACAGGGCAGCCGTGCATGTAGGAGGGGCGGCTTCTGTGCAGCTCATCGCAGTCCATGGCTAGAGCGATTCCGAGTGCAGGAGGGGCTCGAGGATGGATGCTGCCCATGCAACACCCTTCCCTGCACACGGACAAGGGCGCACCAGGCTTGGCTGAAGTCCTTCTCCCTGCGCTCAGCGTTGCCCACCCAGCCCAGGTGCAGCTGAAGGCAAGGAGCCCAGGGGGAAAACGGCCCCTGCGTGGGAATGTGAAGGCACAAGCACAAAGACACAGGGACAGGGAGGGTGCCTTTCCTAAATAGTCCCTGATGCTGCAACTTGTCTAGCCTTGGCCCTGGCCCTGGCCCTGGCCCTGGCCCCTAGCCCCTAGCCCCTAGCCCGTAGCCCGTAGCCCGTAGCCCGTAGCCCATAGCCCCTAACCTGTAGCCCCCAGCCCCTAGCCCCAGCACTAGCTCCTAGCCCTGTCCCCTGGCCCCTAGCCCCTGGCCCTAGCCTCTAGCCCCTAGCCCTAACCCACACTCTGGAAGAGAGTGGTTGCATTCAGATGGAGCCATCTGCTGGCTTCTGTAGATCAACCAGTTAGACAACGCCATCCCAGACAGCCAGTGTTACTGGAAACTGGGTGAGGAATCACTTCAGTGGGAACAAGGAGATGTGTGCCCCACGCACATTGGGTCAGAGGCAAGGCCACGGAGTTCGGCGGGGGAGCGTGCCTGACGACAGCGCGGAGGGCGGTGGCCAAAGGGGGAGCATCGCCGTTTCCACGCTGATCCATCACGTCAGCCGCACACTCGCACGGTGGCTCTGGCAAAGCTCCAGCCCCTCATCAGCAACGTGGGGCAATCAGTCTAGCCTATTCTGCAAGATTAGTGTAAGGATTACTGAAGTAATGCGCACGCTTGAGGTGAAATCAAGGCAGGCACTGCTTCCCGTCTTGTTCTTTGCACTGGGCTGCACATGCAGGATCTCAAAGACCCCAGATGCCCTCTCCTTATTAGAAGCAATTTTTCAGTGCCAAAGATTTTCTGAACAGAGGGAGGGAGAATGTGCGGGTTTCAGGCCGCCTCCTTGCATCCCTGCTTGATGCCGGGCCGACCACCCAGTCAGTTTTGCCCCCCTGGGCTTTTTGCTTCAGCGGAGAACCTCTGCGCCGCCCTCCCGTCTTGCTCGCCCCAGTCTCGCTTTTCACCTTGACCCATTCTGTTTAAGGTTACATATCCCACTGAGCAATTCTGGCAAATGCAATAAAAGCTCACATGTTATATAGCAGAAGCTCTTGTAGTTTTCCATCCCACCCAATCCAAGTTTGTTTGTTTGTTTGTTTGTTTTCAATTTATAGCCTGCCTTTCTCGTACAAAGGGCTCAAGGCAGCTTACATCCTTCTCCTCCTCCATCTTATCCCCACAACAACAACCCTGTGAGGTAGGCTGGGCCGAGAGTCTGTGACTGGCCCAAAGTCACCCGGTTGGCTTCATGGCTGAGCAGGGACTCGAACCCGAATCACTTGCGTCCCAGTCCCATGTGCTTAACCATGACGCCGCACTGGCTCTCAAAGAAAGTTCCCAAAGAACAACCCGCAAGGAACGCTGTCCAGCTTGTCCTTAGCTTCTGGGGTCCTTCTGCTCTTTCCACAGGGTCACTGATGCTGTCAGCAGCTCAGGAAAGACATCTTTTCTGTGACTCTCAGGGGAGTTGTGTGGAATAATATGTAGGACGTTCACTTAGAATTGGGGTCCTCATTGTTCTGAACTTTTATTTGATAAAAGCAAATTTCTAGTCCATAGCACAGTCAAAGACCATTTGAAGTCCGTTGTGCACCCATGTGTGTGTACAGGGAACTGGGGGTGCAAGCAGGATTGGGCTGTGCAATTCCCCAACCCAGTCCATTCTGTAAGGCTCGCTGCATTTGGCCCCGTCAGAGAAATGTGCGTCCTCCAACATTTCGCAGATGAAAAAGGAGCAAACCCCGTTCAAACTCTCATGTGCCACAAGTTCAAGCAGGAGTTGTGCAGGCACCTCATTCTGGAAGCAGTGGCATAAACCAACAGCGTGTGGCAAGTATGGAACAAACGTACCGTTTATGCCCTGCGTTATATTTTCCCATTGAGAGGCCATGAATCCTGCTCTGAAGATGCCGAATGCAGCGATATGGGACTAGCCCAAGCTCAGTCCGGGAATCCGTGCCTCAAAATCCTTCAGCAAAAAGGGCAATTAAGGGCACGCAGAACCCAGAAAAAGCCCTGCAGCCCCTGGCATTCCCTAGCCAGGCATTGCTTTTAGGGGGCTCTGTCAAACCATGAATAGGATTGCACTAGCAGACACAAGAGTGCAACGGAGCATATGCAGACTGCTTGCCTGTCATCGGTGCACAAATTCAGCCTGCTCACCCCGGCCGCTTGCATAGAATTGCAAAGTGGGGCTTCATAAAGTAGTGGCACCCTCCCAAAATTCTCCCGGACCTCACCCTGTAGACACAATTAAGGCATCGACACAGTTCCATTGTCTACAAAAAGCATTAAAAAACACACATTTCAGACTTCCCCTTCCCCGTCCTTAATAACTTTCAAGAGTCAGCTTTGAGGACCCAGGCTGAACTTTAGAATACAGGAAGAAAGGTTTCTCTGAGTATGTGCAGAACACCTTTTCCTTGCTATTGAATAAGTATAATTTGCTGTCCACCTACACCAAGAATTTTACCCAGGATTTTCAAAGCCACCGTCATTTCTAGGTACACATGCATACAAACTGCTCCTGTTTGCTCAATGTTTCTCTGCTTTCTTCATTTCAATGGCTAAAAGAATCTTTTTCAGACAAAGAGAGAGGGAAGGCAAAAAAGCCAAATTTCTAACACTCAGGAGGAAGGCACTCTGCATAAAGTTCGAAGGGTCCTCGTGTTGTTTTGGGGAGGGGGGCACGGGGGGCTGCAGAAATCGCCCCCCTCGCCAGCCCCTCCTTGCCTTCCTTCCCCTCCCCGGTTCACGGGTTCACTGCCGCTCCTCACGGTGACTTTGGAGAGACGGAGCCAGCGGGACAACAGTCAGGGCATCTCACTTATGCGCTGCAGGAAGGCTTTGTGGGGAGGGTTCAGAAGGAGCCCGCTGGGTCGGGGGGGGGGATCCATCTCGAGGGCACCCCCGGCCTCACGCTCCCCATGCCGCCTCCTCTTCCAGTTGCGCCACCGGACAGCCTGCGCGTGGCGGCGATCCGCGACCGCTCGATCGACCTCGAGTGGGATGGCCCGCTGACCGTGACCGAGTACGTGATCTCGTACCAGCCGGCCACGCCGGGGGGCCTGCAGCTGCAGCAGCGGGTGCCCGGGGACTGGAGCAGCGCCACCCTGCGGGAGCTGGAGCCGGGCCTGCCGTACAACATCAGCATCTACGCCGTGATCAGCGAGGTGCTCAGCGCCCCCGTGGGAGTCAAGGTGGCTACGCGTGAGTAGCACAGGGCTTTCCTGCGCCCGGAGCATCCGCACGGGCTTCCCCGCTGAGGAGAAGGTGGCCGGGAGGCGGGAAGGAGATGTCGGGGAAGCGAGGCCTGGGATGCGCGGCTGGTCGCACAACGCTCTTGACGGTGTTCGGGGGGAAATGTGGGGAAAGATGGTGCATTGAAGGGCGCTTGCCGCAGGTATGTTTAGATCACACCTGAGCTGGCAGCGATGAGCAGAGAAGGGGGCTGGCTGCCAGGAAGGGTGGCCAATGTGCCCACCTGCTTCACCCTTTTCCACGTATGCCACCACCGGCAGCATCCGCAGCGAGTGGAGAAGAAGGCTGGCCGCCAGGGAGGGTGTCCAGGGAGGGCTGCCGGCTGTGCAACCTTCGGGGGGGGCCTGAGAGCTTTCGCAGACTCCCTCTGGGCTCAGCTCATTCTGCAGGGCCGAGCTGAGCACAAGCCTGCAGATTCCGGGGGAGCGGAGGGGAGCGGAGGGGAGGGGACACAGGTTCCGTAAGGGGTCGTCCCAGCCCTAGTCCTAATAACACAAAATTGCCAATCGGCCTGAAAAAATCCTGGCCTGGCCCAGTCTTGCAGCCTTACAAGCGTAGAAGCATAAATACATAGAAACAGAGTGAGTCAGAAGGGTCTCCTGGGCCATCTAGTCTGACCCCTGGCTCCAGCTGGCTCTGTTCATGACATGCCCACCATTAGCATGTCATGAGTGCAACGGTGCTTTCCCAAGGGGAAATAAGACTTGCCCCTCTGCTCTTACTGCATGCCAGCCTGCTGCAAGAAGCACAAGATGGACTGGCTGAAAAGCTGCAGCCCTGGGTGAGCCTGCTTTTGCACGGTGCAAAGAAAGTGGAGATTTGGGGTCACGGGTGCAGCCCCAAATTAAAACATCCCAATAACTGAGCTGCAAGGGAGGCCTCAAGAAAAGAGATGGTCACTCATGAGGGCGATTGGGCAAAACACATCAGCCCTGCATTGCACGGTCTCTTAGGTGCAGTTGCTACTCTGCACGGCCTGGTCCCCAGCTCCCAACGCAGGACAGCAGCAGTCCAGTTCCAGTCACTTACTCTGAGCCAGTGCGTTGACCATGCCTCCCAGAGCAAAACCGTTTTCGGGCATCGTTCACTGCACTAGATACACAACTCCCCTTGTGGTGGGCAGTTCAGAGAAACCGTGACTGACAGCACCGGCTCTCTGCAGTTCTCCTGAGAGAAGTGGCGTGCTCGGTGAACTTCGCCCTTAGCTCTCACCGCCCACTCTGCCCCCTGCACCCTGCCTGTCCACTGCCTCCCTGCTAGCTTCCCTCCACCCCCAAGCCTGGCCTTCATATCCCCACCAGGGAACCAATTAGTGTAGCACGCTGGTGTTCCCAAAGGATGCCGAGATTTCCCTTCTCACACCTTATCCATCGCAGTGCTTTGCACACGGAAAGCGGCGATGCGCTCGCTGTGCCTCGGCGAGGTTGCCTTTCCATGCGGCTCACACGGCGCATTCCCGCCCTCCCTGCTGTTTTCCAGAACTCTCCACTCCACAAGGGCTGCAGTTCAAAACAATCACGGAGACCACCGTCGAAATGCAGTGGGACCCCTTCTCCTTCTCGTTCGATGGCTGGGAGATCAGCTTTATCCCCAAGGTAAGGCCGTCTTTTCGACCGGACCTTGCAACGAGGCTGCCTTTCCACCACCTGGGTGGGCCTCCCGGGAGGCAGGCGGTGCTGCTCGAGTTGATGTCTCTGCTTGTGGTAGAGCTGACGGGGCCACTGGAGGAGGCCCACAGATCTGCTGGGACAGGAGAGTCCGGGGACAGCTAGCGCTTGGAAGAAGCTGCCAAGCCAAACGGCCTCCACCTGCAGCCCACAGGGACCTGGATGCCACAGCTTGGTATCCCGGCTCCACTGAGTTGCTGGTCCTCTGTTACCACCAGGGGTTGAGCACACGGCCTTTGGGTGCTCTGTGAAGCTAGTATTGTGAAGGCCAAGGCAGGCAGCCCGTGGCTGGATAGGGGCGTTCAGCTCATTCTAGATGGGATTGCACTCCCTTCAAAGAAGGGAGTTCATAGCTCAGGAATTGTCCTGGATCCCCCTCTCAGGGCTCAGGGGGGCTCAGGAACATGGAGCATTTCTACCAGCTCAGACTGGTGGCCGAGCCACACCATTCTCCAGGCAGGGCTAGCCTGGCCTCAGTGGCCCATGCTCTGGTAGGCTTCAGATGATACGACAGGAAGGCATTCCATGTGGGGCTTCTTTGAAGACCGCTCGGAGCTGAAGCTGGGGCAAAATGTGAGCACCAGCTGGTTAGCCGTGGCCAGACGGTCCGGACAAGCAGTGCTGCTTCTGACCCACCTGCACTGGATGCCCGTGCTTCCAAGCGGGTTCAAGGTGCCTCTCTTGACCCATGGAAGCCTGCACGGCTCGGGACTGACGGAGGAGCTGACGGAGTGCCTCTCCTGGCACCAGCCTGCCTGCTCTCTGGTGGCCGCATCCGAGCCCCTGCTCAGGGGAGGATCAGCAGATGGCAACAGGAAGAGGACCTTCCTAGTGTGCAAAGACCAGTCCGCCTGGCACCACCATTGCCCTCTTTGGGGTGCCAGGATAAACAGTCCTTTATTCCCAGGCATTCGATCGCATACCATGTGATTTTAATGTCAGTTTTTAACCAGATCCCAGTATCCCAATTTACAGTTTTTCTTTTCAAAATTTTGTATGTTAAAGTATATATGCTACAATGTAGGGTAGTTGAATGGCCCAGAGAGCTCTAATTTTGGGGCTGTGCAGAAAATGAAGGAAGAAAGAAATACTATAGCACGATCGCTCCGTGCTTAATCAAGCATGAGCACATCAATTAGCATCAGGGCTGGAAGTAAATGATCTTTTTTGCACAGTTAAAAGTGATGAGATAATATGGCTGCTATATCGTCTTTCGGTGACACCATATCCACAGCGGCTAATACGAATATTCTATTTATACACCTGATCTCGCGGTCCAGAGAGGTTCGTGGTAATTCTTTGCAGGGTCACATTTGCATGTTATGGGAAAACATGCTGCGCCATTTCCATGACACACCAATTTGGGCCAAACTTACCAATCAAACAACTGAGCAGTTCCCACGGCAACGCAGTTTCTGTCCTCCCTGCTCCATCTTTGCCAGGCATGTCAGCAGCCCCTGCGAGCAAAATCTTCTTTCTCGCTCCTTCTTGCTCCTAATGACCACACCAGCCTTGTCTGGACTCGTCCCACTAAGGTTTTGGGACAGGGTCTGCTTATTCCCCCTCCTTAGCATACCTGCATCTTTGCAATGCTACCTGGCCACTTCAGCCTTAAATCAAAAGAAGCACTTTGCTTGCGTCTCCCCCTCCTCTTCCTCTGTGCATTCCAGCTTTCTCCTTTTTCTGAAAGTAAAGTGGAAAACAAGCACCTAGAATCCTACAACAGCAGACTTGAAAGGGGCCTTTAAGGCCATTGAGTCCAACCCCCTGGGCCCCTCAGGGCAGGACTCCAGATTCAAGCATCCCCAACAGATGGCTAAGTGCCTCTTGAATGCCCTCCATGTGGCACAGCCCACCACTGGGTTCCATTGGCATTCTGTTCCAACAGCCAGGAAATTTTCCTGATATTTAGCCAGAATCTGGCTTCCTGCAACTTGAGCCCAGTATTCCATGTCCTGCATTCTGGGATGCCTGAGAAGAGATCCTGAGACAGCCTTTCAGGTATTTGAAAAATTCTACCATATCTCCATTCATTCCTCTCTTCTCAAGGCTAAACGTGCCCAGTTCTTCCAGTCTGTTCTCACAGGGTTTTGTTCCTGGTCCCATGATCATCTTTGTTGCCCTCCTCTGAACTTTTCCCAGTTCGTCTTCAACTTTCTTGAAGTGTCAGAACCGGACACAATACTCACTTGGCCAATTATAATAAAGCAGGTAATGACACATCTGTTGCCAGGGGGCTGAGGGCAGGAGAGATCGAAGGCTAGAAGTGGCCACTTCTGCAGCCCCTCTTGCCAGGGGGCTCTATGACATTTACATACCAATAATGGTAAAATGGCAATCCTGGTTCTGGACAACCAGAGAAGCTGCAGTGAAGCATGGAAACCTTAAAACAGACCGTAGATTTTCTCTGTGATTTTGGGAAACTAATTCCACCATCCAGGACCTCCAGGAATGGATCCAGATGACCCAACAGACCCACAATGGCAAGATTTTGCCATGGCTTCTCCTATTTTGTGAACCTGCCCAGTATTTCCCCTTGCCAAAAAAAAAAATCTCACAATTGTAGATGGTTTGAGGACACAAAGGAAGACAAAAAATAAGTTAATTGAGATAGCTGACATGAGACAGAGGTGCAATCATGTTGCGCTCAAGCAAGGACAGCCAAAACGCCCTGCTCTGGTTTAGGCACGGTTGTCTCAACACAAATCTATGGGGTGGCCCCGATTGGGATACTGGGTGCCCTTTCTCAGGAGCTTTTCCACTCCCAGCTAGCCAAGGCAGGTTCCTGTAACAGTATTTTAAATTTGCAGGGGGAGGGAAATGACCATAGATCAGGCCTGGGGAAGCGGGGAGGGGGGCAGGGTACAGGAGAACATGGGAAGCACTGGGAGGAAATGTCTGGATTCTTTACCACAAGCAAGCGAACACGGGGATGCCATTTCTGGAGGGAATGGGTAGTGACGACCCAACCTGTGTTGTCCCGTGTGCCTCTTCAACTGCACCAGCAGCAACCAGTGACACAGAAAAGGGAAAGGATAAGTAAGTGTGTGTGTGTGTGTGTGTGTGTGTGTGTGTGTGTTGCGACCACACATCACAGGGAGAGAAAGCGCAACAGCTATCGCTGTCTTCTCCACTGCCTCTGGTTCACTCATAGGTTCAAAACATGTTCAGTGAAAACGATCCTTAGAAATGCTGTCATTTATTAAGCATTCTTTTGTTCGAAGTAAAGACAGAACTGAGTCCGTTCATAGGAAGTGTCACACCGATCCGCAATTCAGAGGCTCGGAAATCAGTTTCTTGTCAGGGCAAATAGGTTTATTTACAATTGAATGCATGGATCCATGGGTGCCTAAATAGGAACACGCCATGTTAATTTCCTTAGGGTTATATAGAATACACAAAAGGGGAGGGAATACAACACACAGGAAGGTGATTGGATACTTTGATATGGACAGGAAAGGGATTGGCTACAGGTCACAACACCATAAAGAAAAGGTACGTTCCACTCTAATGAGATGTCTTGGACAGGCCCTCTGAACTGAAGCTGCCTTGAACAGGCTGGCCAGGTTAAGTAAACAGAAAGGTGACAGGTGTGAACGTGCAGGGTTAGGGGGGCGCTCTGGCAGGCCTGTAGCACACAGAGATTGCGCTTCGACGGTCACCCGCTCATGCAGTGGGGTCACTGGTCTTCCCACCAGACACCCAGGCATCTCCTGTTGCGTTTATGGCAAGGCAGTGGGGTGGGGTGGTAAGAACTGCTTCTCTGATTACAGAAGGATGCAAAGTTATCGATTCAGGGAGTTTCACTCATGAACAGCCTAGCTGAGCCCCGGAGGTGTGGAACTCTCTTAACTACAGAAAAGTAGACAAAATCAGCAGAAAAACGGAAACAGATGAGGAGGCGCTGATGGAGGCAGCCCGAGCTTCGCAGTTATTTTAAAAGGGCCAGAGGGAAACTTTGCCATGCTCTCCCTCTCCCTCCTGCACATGCAAGTGCACAACTCCGGATAAGCAAAAGCCTCTTTTGTTACATCTCTAAGCCCAAAGAAAATACTCTATTGAAAATCAGTTCAAACTTTGGTTAGATAGTAAGGACTTCCTGTAGCCTAAAGAGGCAATTGTTGTGCAAATATTACCTGAGGATTCAAGGAGTAGTAAAATGCATGCCAGTTCCCAAATAATAGGGAAATCATTTTGTGAGGGAGGAAAAGCTTGGGTCCCTTTTATATTTAGAAGGGAATAGCCCAGCAGAGAAATTAGCGGCCTGGTCCTGGAGGGACCTTTGGCCTAGAGTTGCCAGTAGACCAGGCAAAGATCCTGCTTCCTCTTCCTCCTTTAAGGCAGTTTGACTGACAGGAATGAGCAGGTGAGATGCTTTCGCAGCTTGGAGATCAGCATTCCGTCAATTTATCTTGGCACAGCAAGCTGGGAGTAAGAATACAGGCAATGCTTGAAAAGTTGGTGAGCCAGTGTGGTGTAGTGGTTAAGAACATGGGACTGGGATGCAGGTGATCCCCGCTCAGCCATGGAGCCAGCTGGGTGACTTTGGGCCAGTCACAGACTCTCAGCCCAACCTACCTCACAGGGTTGTTGTTGTGGGGAGAAGATGGAGGAGGAGAAGGATGTAAGCTGCCTTGAGCCCTTTGTAGGAGAAAGGCAGGATATAAATCGGAAAATAAATATAAATAAATACATATTACGGAGGAGCAGCAACAGCAGATGGGAGCTGCTAAGACGGACATGCCACGCCATGCTCAGACTAGCGACTGTCGTGCTCTCTTTTGGAGAGACGCACAACTGTGCTTACAGGAAGCGTGCGACATCAGGCTTCATTGCAGAAATCCAAACACACGGAGCAGTCTTGGGGCTCCGTCCACACTGGCACGTTCTCTTGCCAGGAGGAGAAAGATCAGATCCCCTGTGACTCGTTTGCCTTTTGATCCCGGGGCTATCCCTGCTTCTCCCAAAGTCTGAAAGCGCTTCTCTGATACCCTCAGGACAACGAAGGCGGCGTCATTGCGCAGCTCCCCGGCAGCGTGACGACCTTCAATCAGACGGGGCTGAAACCCGGGGAGGAATACACCGTCAATGTGGTGGCCCTCAAGGAGCAAGTACGGAGCCCGCCGGCCTCAGCCAGCGTCTCAACCCGTAAGTACCCCATTCCTACATTTCTGCACCTCTCTAGAGGTTCACAGCAGTTCGATAAGATGAGGCTGTTTCAAGGGCTGTTTGCAGGAAGAAGGACTTTGTAGAACCTCCATGTTCAGAGGCAGTGTACCTCAGCATATCAGATGCTAGGGGAAAAGTTGGGTGACGCTGTCACTATGTAAGGCATTCCTAGAGGCCCTTCTCAGGCGGGCAGTTCTCCCCCATTTTTGGAACAGGCGTGTCTGTGCTGGAGAGCTGCTTGGAGATATGGTTGGCCAATGCCACCTACAGGCCACGCAACGCAACAACCCGTTTTAAAGCACTCTTTTTTGCCCGTCCGCGGCCATGTCCGGAGATACAAGTAATGGACGGCATGCACATTCTATAAAGAAATGTTTCCTAAGTGCTCTGGGAACGGTTCGTTCTGATCCGGACGCGGCAGGCCAGCCGTCTGGCAGGGACAGTTAACTGGGAGTCCTGCACTGAGCAGGGGGTTGGGACCAGTGGCCCTCTGGCCCCTTCCCGCTCTCCTCTTCCAGGATTCTGGGATTAAATCCGAGGAGCTTACACGTGGCTTAGGGTCAGGTTGCTTGAGACCTGCCCACCCTCCCTTGAGTCCCCTTCTGGCCTCTCGCCTCAAGCCGTGCCCCTGAATTGTGGCTCCTCATGAAGAGATGAGATGCTGCAGGGGGCGATCTCCCAGGCCAGGCAATTCTGCTCCGTCTCTTCCAACAAAGGCTGGATTATCCAGAGGCCTTTGATTCCGGCCGAATTGCCAGAAGGAGACTGGGCTGCGGCAGGGAATGTGCGGCAGAGGCGGCAGGAAGGCACCTGGGTGCGCTCCTTCATTACCTGATTAATTTCCGACAGCCTGTAGTCCAATAAATAGTTGTTGCCACTTACCGCCACCCCACATTGAGTCAATAAACAAGCCCCTAAGAGTTACATGGGCACTCATTAGAATTCTATAAAATGTTTCCCAGAGCCCTTCTCGCTCACCTCCAAAGAGGCATTCTCCGTTTCTGCCGTACCTTCTGCTTCCTTGTATTACTTCTCTTTACTTCTTCTTCCATTTAGGATACATGGCAAAGACAAGCCTTCCATAACTAGGTCCCCATCAGTTGTAATGAACTCCAGCTCCCATCCTCCCCAGCCAGCATGGCTGTTGGCCACCATGGGAGCTGAACACCAGTCCACTGAGAGCAGCAGTTTGGGGAAGGCTGCCAGAGATCACTGGGGCCAGGACACCAGGCTCCTGACTTAGGATCCAACTTGACTCAGTGCTAAATGCACCGTTGCGTTTAACCCACATGCCTTTTCTTCTCCTTTTGAAGTGCCAGTGGCAACCAGACCTTTCCCTTATCTTGCCTGTTTTAAATGCAGGACACATGATACGGAAAAGTTTGATATAGGACTGGACATGCAACCGACCAGAGGACAAGCTAATTACCAAAATATAAAAAACTGTGTTCGGATGCAAAAATAATAGGCCATTGTGCAAATAAATTATACAGTGGTTCTCATATGCATATTCATCACCTGCTGGTTGCTGCATATGTGAATGGGCCATTTCAGATCAAACTCCGCAGAGAGAACTTTCAGGCAGCAGATGTCAAAACACAACGTTGTCCCATGTTCTCTCGTTTGGCTGAGGACCTGAGTGACTAGCAGAGAACCAGTAAGGTGCATGAATGTGTGAATCAGCCCAAATGCTGGTGCACTTGTCTCTTCCTAAGTCCTGTCTCTGACTTTTTCAAGAATATATATGCTTAGTGCATTTTTTAACAATGGAAAAAACAGGATTTTAAAAAACGTTTTTACTTGCCAGTAACAAAGGCCAGTATACCTATGACATTATGTGTCACATACATTTTCACTTGTACAGACAAAAAATAAAAAATTGAAACCTGTAGAAACAAAGCTCAAATAATAGATTACAGATCCCCAGGCAGAAAATAAGTCTGAGATTAGATGCACAGCAGGGGCAGTGAGCTAATGCTGGCATGGTATACAAGCAATTAACAAGCATTCCTCTTTGCTTGCTTGCTTGCTTGCTTGCTTGCTTGCTTGCTTGCTTGCTTGCTTGTTTGCTTATTTGTTTTACACTAGTGCATTCTAGCAGTGCGTGGGGATGATTACGGATGCTGCAGGAATCCAGGTATTTCCGTTTCTGTCCCAAATATCGCAGTTCTGCTGGTGTGAGACACCCCAGTTCAGACTTACTTACACTTCATTGGAAAGGAGGAAAAACTATTGATTGCTGCAAATCACACCATAATGTACAAGTAAATCCCAGTTTACTTTCTACCTACCTTTGTTGTAGATTTTCCATGGATTTCCAAAAACTGGGACAGGAAAGTAGAAAACTGTGGAAGTAAATGGAAAGATTTTGCATGTCCCCGTTGTGTATTACTGCCTTTGGTACTTGGAGTAAATCTTTTCGTCTCCTGTCTCTCTTTTCCATGTAATTTGCTCCTTCAAAAATGTTTCTACATCTGTGGTGTCCAGTGATTGATAGGCCTACACAGATATTGGTGCGTGACGTCTCTGACACAGTGGCCTTTGTGGAATGGACTCCCCCGCGGGCCAAGGTGGACTATATTCTGCTGAAGTACGGCCTAGAGAATGGAGAAGGGGGCGAGACCACCTTCCGGCTGCAGCCCCCTCTGAGCCAGTACTCCATGCAGGCCCTGCGGCCTGGCTCTCGGTACGAAGTCTCCATCACTGCTGTCCGTGGGACGGATGAGAGTGACGCTGCAGTCACCCGCTTTCTAACAGGTAGGCCCAAGATAATCCAGAGTCCCAAGAGTTCCAGGTGTCCCTAGCATCTCTGCTTCAAAGAGGCCTCCAGGATCAGGCTGGGAGAACCCTCTAAGAGCTTGGAGAACTTCTTCCCGCTGGAATTAGCTGACCAGTTGTCTGGACCAGCATCTTCTCTTGCCCTTGTGATGGCAGGCACCAGGAGTGTTGCTGAAGGCAGTCCATGGCTCCTTCACCTACCATATAACCTTCTACCTCTAACCCTGCCTACAAAGAATCACAGCCCATCACAACATCACACACACAAAATCCATCTATTTGTGAAGAACAAGGTAATTTGTGGGGGGGGGGGAAGTCCCCTTCTTCTCAGGGCGGCTTTAGCTCGGGGAAGGATGGCCCGGTGCATTGACTAGCATCTTGTCGGAGTCCTTAGGGAAATTGAAACCAAGCAAAGGCTATAGACAGCTCACGAGTTTAATTTATAGTACCATAAAGAAGGAGGTGGAAAGCAGATTCTAGAGCTGTTTTATAGCTTAAATATTGCCTGTCATAAAGATTACAGATTGATACTAGTACTTTTTGTTATCTCTATGATAATATCTTGCTGACTGTACTTAAGAATAAGGGGTGTGTGTACTTATTGATTTGCTGAGTCTTTCATTCCATGACTTACTTCTGTGAAATGTTTTAATCAAAAAAAGAAAATAAAGAAGCACATCTATAGTGTCGTAAATTTGTCACTCCTGCCTTCTGCAGCACACGATGCTCACATTTTGACTTTGGTGCCTGCCAGGGGGACACTGCAGCTCGTGGGAATGTAAAGGAAGGAGCCCATCACCCAGAACATTTGAACATTTTGCGTTCAAATTCTTCTTTGCGGTGACTCTGCTTCAAGGCAACCTGGAAGGTCTTATCCTGGCTTTCCGGAAATTCTTGCTTTGGAGTCAACCTGATGGAAGAGTTCCTACTTGGAATGCACTGGGCAATACTTTCAATTGGATTCAGGTGAACGTAGTTGAATTTCAGTCCCACTGGAAGCAACGGGGCACACTAGTCATGACATCGGGGGGACACTGTGAGCCACGGCAGGCAGTACTGGCTAGTCTGAGAGGGAAGGGCCCCTTGCCCTTCTGAGCACTGGGCTGATGCATGTGGGCTTCCTCGCATGAAGACCTTCCCTGGTTTAATGGCCAACTTTAGCAGGTTCTTAGGCAGCAAGGCTGGGAGAGACGCCTTTTTGCTGGACACTGCGGAGAACCTTTGCCCACTGCAGTAGCAAGCAGCCCTGGCTGGACAGGTGCAAAATATGACTCAGGAAAGACAGTTCTGCATGAAGACAGGCTTAAAACTAGAGTTGGGCATTCTTGCTTCACAGCACTGAAATGTGTATCAGATCTGCTTCAACTTTCCCTCACTGGATTTCATTCCAAAGCAATTAACCACCAAACAGCTTATTAGGGAATCTGGCGGATTTGCCGTCATCTCAGGCCTACATATCATATGTATATGAATTGCTTGTCTCACTGAACAATGTTCTCCAAATTCTAATTAGATAAAGACCATGAAGTGCTTTGCACACTTTAATGTGCTACAGAAGTGATAACGGTTATCATTAGTATTCATTAATGAGCAACTTCTTCAGATTTGTGCAGGAATGATTGGGTGGAATGTTGCATATGGAGTTCTACAGAACAATAGAACAACAAGAAATCCAAGTAACTTACCCAATTCCATTGCATTTGCAAAGTTCCAAGCTTCATACCAACTTCCCCAAAAATAAAACATGGTCATAAACACGAGAGACCCAATTGTCGTCCGAATGACGTTGGAGAGAAAGAAGAAAAACCAAAGCCAGAACACTGCCCGTTTCCTTTTTTAATGCAGAAATTGATGCGCCCAAGAACTCGCGTGTGGTCTCTCGGACATCCGACAGCCTGGAACTCGAGTGGGACAACAGCGAAGCCGAGGTGGACACCTTCAAGGTGGTCTACAGCACGCTGGCTGGTGAGCAGTACCATGAAGTTCTGGTGCCACGGAACGCAGGTGCCACAACCCGGACCACCCTCTCAGGTAAGCCTGCCCAGCAATGTCGGCATATATATTTTTCTTGAGGAATCTTCCAGTGGAAAATGTCCGCTTTGCTTTTAAGCAAATTTATGTATGTCTATATGATTGTGCTTAAAATTTGCTCATTTATGCATGTGGAGAAGAGTGTCTTTCCTTCAGGCTTTTGTACCATTGATAGGTAAAGATGTTCCTTAACAGATGTGGATTCCCAGATAATGCCTTGCTTAAATTTGGGATAGTTTTTGTTGGCATGGCACTCCTAACTTTGGGGTTCCCTCCATCAGGGAGGGTGGAGGCCAGGAAGAAACAGTTTGGCAACTGGAATTTAGCCAGGAAAGGAAACAAGTCTGGGTTGTGTTGGAGGTGCCTGGCAAAAGCAGGACTACGGAGGCTGGGCCTTCAGGCGCCTTCTTTGCTTTGGCAGCAACAGGTGCCGCTTGAAAGACCAACCCTGTGTCTGGATGCTTTTCAGTCTCTCAAGCTGACCTCGAATGTCCTGGAGCACCCAGAAGTCTCCAGCATCTTCTCCTCCCAAATTTCACCTGTCAACGGCTGGCACCCTAAAAAGCCACGCCTTTCTGAGCAGCTGAAAGCGAGCCGGAGAATTTTGTTCCACACAACGAGATTGCAATAAGATGTTCTGCCTGTGATGCTTGATCTGCGGTGTCTGGTTCCCATTTCCAGATAACCAGGAATCTACGATCATTGCATGCCGAGGACTGCCCAGGCATCACAGAGATGGTCTGTAAGGGAGATAACGGTTGGTTTTCATGTGTCTGTGCTTGGCCAGACCCATTTGGAGGCTGTTTGCAGTCCATTCTTGGGGCAACGGGGTTAATCTTTGCCCTTGGCTTCCCTGCCAAGGCACCGGTTTTTGTCCAAGTACCTGCATGTGTAACCGAGCAGAAGAAGGCGGTGCCGGTGGAAAGGACCATCATTTCATTCCCCTTTCCATCTCATACAGAGATGCTTACAAAGAACGCACATTCTTTAATGTTTGGGGGACCCTGTGGAAATCTTTCGAGGTGCCTCATTGAGAAGGGACATCAGGGGAGGACGTCTGCAGCTGTCCAGGGCTGGCTGCACTCAGATTCCCAAGTCACGACCCTGGCAATATCCAAGAGGCAGGCATGGCGCAGGGCTTCCTCCCAAGTGGGCATGCATAGGATTGCAGCACCGGAGAAGAAAAGCACAGGGCAACGGCGGGAGGATCCAGCCTCTTTCCGACTGCTTCCGAAAGCTGCTCTCAGCAGCGATTTCATGGCCAGGTTGCGCAACGGCAACAGAGAATGAAGCAGGTTCTCCTTAGTTCCCCCAGCAGACGTTCAGCGCTCCGGGGGGGGGGGGGATCTATATTTCACACTGGTCTTCTCTGCCCCTTGGAGAGCAGCCGCCTGACTCTGCCACCCACTTGGGAGTCGCTGCCTTGAAAGTATCTTCCAAGGTGCTTGACGCCCATGGAAACGAACATCAATGGCAGCAGTTTCTCCAGTGGAATCTCCTTACAGACTTTGTGCAATCGTAGCATTTTCTTAGCCTTTCTCAATTAGATCATCTGGATTTCTGCCCAGGTGCCAGAGTTGTAGGGACCCCCATTCAACTTCATCAGGGCATGTCTGGAAATATTTTGCAAATTTTAGTATGGGGCAGGCATAACCCAGCCAAAGTGAATCATTTTTAAGTGGAATTGACTGTAATGGAAGTGCTGGCATGTTCTGGACTCTCTCCCATTGCAGTCAACCAGAATTACATGCTTAACTTTGGCTGGATTGCATCAGTGTACAGGAAATTTTGACAGCATTATAAATAATGTCCATGTTACATTAAGAAGGGCATGGTTTCAATTCAACCATCCAATCCAGCATCCCATTTCTCTTCTGATGGTCAGCCAGATGTCTCTGGAATGTGCACAGGAGGACATGAATGCCCTCTGTGCACTGCCACCCTGGTCCAACAATTAAAGTTGTTGGTGTTGTTAGTCACAGAGGCATGTCCGACCCATCGCAACCCCATGGACAACATTCCTCCAGGCCTTCCTGTCCTCCACCATCCCCAAAGTCCACTTAAGCTCACACCGACTGCTTCCGTGACTCCATCTAGCCACCTTCTTCTTTTGCCATCTATTAAACTGCCTCAAAGTAGCCTTTGGCCCAGGGAATCGAAACCCCAACTACTACCCATCCAACCAACTGAACTGCTTGGCTCTCGGACTTTGCATGACATACATTACCAAGCAGTTCATTCTATGACTGAGCATGCAACCCAATCCTGTACATGTTTACACAGAAGTAAGTCCCACTGAATTCAACTGCAGTTACTCTGAAGGAAGCATGTATAGGACTGGAGTGGAAGGAAGCATCCACTAAGATTTAAGCTTCCTAACAACTGATGAAGTATCCAAAGAATCATTGCCTCGCTGCTACATTGGAAAGAGCAATACCAGGTAATTACAGGTCCAGCATTCTTATCTGCCAGTGATCAGATCAATGGGAGTGAGAGCTGATGTTTGACAAAAGGAATTCAGGATGCAGCTATAAGCAGATCAGTGGTAGGAGTTTTGAAATATTTAAAATTCGTCTGGAAAAGAATGTAGTTAGGACTTTTGCAGATGAAGTGTTTCAAATAGAATGACTGTGCCTCATTCACTCACATTTTGCAAAGCATACAGAGACTATCCTTGCCCTGTTTGTGTGTGTGTTTGCGTGTTTTCTGCAGTTGTCCCATATTCACCCATACACAGAAAACCTGCTTTTGAAATAATCGGAAAAAAAAGGATGGAACATAGTACAAACTCCAAACTTTCTTGCTATTTTCCCTTCTTTTTTAAGGCTCTTCCTCCTGGCTTCACCTGATTAATTCTTCCTTGTTGCACTGCTGCCCACTAATTGCTTTCATAGGTCCTCCATCTCTTAAGAAGGAAGGACCAGAAAACTCTGAGTTTTGAGCCTCTTCGTGCTGTTTGTTTGAACATCTCCAAAGGAGTGCCGTAGGAAGCCCCAGCATTTGTTTTGGAACAACAAAGGAATTGCTGCTTTGAACTCCCGTTTGAACTGCTGATGGACAGGGAGAAAGCTGCAGCTTGAAGTAGCTGAGCACAGCATAAAATTTAGAACGGTACCCCCAGCTCTGCTTCATAGACAATGCTTTCAGAACAAAACAGCAGAGCCACTCCAATCAAGAGTCTACAAGTACAATAAAGAAGGGAAGAATGTGGAGTATTGTCTTTTCATACAATTATGTCCACTGGTGGAGACGGAACCCAGCACAACGCACGTAGCAAAAATTGTTGTGCCCCTTCCTGTTTGGAAGGACAGTTCATTGCAAATCTGCTTGTAGCTTGCAGTCAAGAGGAAATGTGTAACCAGTTTATCAACAGAACACATTGTCTAAGGCTCTGTCCAGAATGTCATGAACTGGTGGAGCGTTGCCCTGTGGACAACCCACTGGTGCGCTGGCCAGGGCTTCCTGGTTGCTGGAATTTTTGCAAAGAACGCTGGACTATGTGGGCCTTGGTCTTAACTGCCAAGGGATGACTTATGCCAATGAACACATCACTCCGAGATTTTCAAGAAGTCTTTCTCTTTGAGTTCCAGTTGCCTGTCTCATTCCGTTCCATCTCATTTCATCCTGCCTTGTTCTGTTCTCATTTCATTCTGTTCTCGTTTCATTTCATGTCATGTTTTAACTGTATTGAGTCCAGTTCTGAGCATGACAGTTTAAGAAAGATGCAGACAAGCTGGAAAGGGTTTGCAGGAGGGCAACAAGGATGATTCGAGATTGGAAACAAAGCCCTGAGGAGAGACAGAAAGAACTGGGCGCATTATCCTCGAGGAGAGAGGTCTGAGGGGAGAGAGGATAGAACTCTTAAAATACTTGGACGGTTGTCACAACGAGGAAGGCCAGGATCGCTTCTCAAACATCCCAGTCTGCAGGACATAGAAGAATGGGCTCAAGTACAGGAACCCAAGTTCTGGCTCAACATCAGAAAGAACTTCCTGACCGTTGGAGCAGTCCGGCAATGGAACCAAGGACCTGGGGAGGTGGTGGGCTCTCCCACACGAGAGGCATCCAGAAGGCAACTGGGCAGCCATCTGAGAGGGATGGCTTGGCTTGGAGTTCTGCAATGAGCAGCGGGTTGGACCCCAACAAGGTGGGAGTCACACCCACTGGTGTGGCCCTTGGTCACCTTGGCTTTCCCCAGAGGGGAGAAAACGTGGTGGAAACGCCCTGCCCTTCTGTGGCCTTCCAATGGGCAATGGGTGGACTCAAGGAGACAAGAGAGGCAAGCAGGCCAGCCCCGTTGAGAAGGAACCCTAAAATTCCCTGGTTTGCATGATGGCTGCAGCTGCCTCCACCGTCTTGCATCTTTTATACCTCCGAGAAATGCTAATTCAGTGGGAAAATAAATAAACCCAGAGCGTGCCGACAAAGAGCCACTGGTATCCACTTTGATCCAATAATGATAATAGATGATAGATTGACTGGAAATTAACTAAATTGCTGTCTCTCCTGATGAGCCAGAAACCGCAGGGCCACCTCCCGCAGGCTTCCGAGTACTTGCAGCTCCGCAGCTTGCAGGGAGAAGCTGGGATCTTTCATTAATTATTGAATGTTTCATTTATACCTCATAAATAAGCAAGTCAAATGAAAATGGTAGATGTCAAATCGGTTTGGCAACAAATAAAGTTATCTTGATGTTCGCACTCCCTCTACATTTTAGCTGCAGAGAAGGCGACTGCAGTGAATCAAAGCAAAATCAAAAAGTGATAGTCCTTTGTTTCAAAAGTAATCCCGTTTCCTTAACCTAAAATGAACAAAATGACCCTCAGGGGCCAATGACATCCTGTCTTTTTACATTTCAATTTGTTAAAGCTCTAAACCAGCCTTCCGCAACCTGACATCCCACCAATGTCTTGGGGTACAGCTCCCATCATCCCTGATCGTTGGCCACACTGGCTAAGACTGCTGAGAGCTGCCATCCAAATTGTTGGAGGCCACCAGGAGGGGAAAGACCTCTCAGGCTGACCGACCCACACTGTCCGGGCAGGTTTTCAAACTGGGTTTCAAAGCAGAGTTTGCATAATTTACTCACGACAGCTGTGTTCAGACAATCCTCCAAAACCTAGTTTCTGAAGTCCTCTTGATTGGAGCGGCTCTGCTGTGCTCCAGATGCCTCTCTTTCGCCCTTGTCCTTCGGTTGTACACTGGTTTTAGTGCAAAGACCTGAGCTTGTGCTAAGATAGACTTCCCTGTTAATGCCCATACTGGGGAAGCCTAACTTGATACCAGTTTACAGACCCCTGAAAAAGAAGACATCTGTTGTTGCCTTTATGTGCCATCAGGTTGTCTCCAGCTTACGGCGACCCCGTGCATGAAGACCCTCCAGAATGTCCTACCCATGGCAGCCCTGCTCAGCTCTTGCACATTCCAGGCTGTGGCTTCCCTTTACGGAGTCCACCCATCTCATATTTGGCCTTCCTTTTCTTCTTCTGCCTTCCACTTTCCCTTCTCCAGGGAGTCCAGCCTTCTCCTGATGCCCCCAAAGTATGGCAGGCTCAGTTTTGTCCTTTTCACTTCTAGGGAAAGCTTGGCTTGATTTGTTGGAAGCCCCTCATTCGTCTTTCTGTCCATCCAGGATATTCACAAAGCTCTCCTCCTGCGCCATTTTCCTCCTGGCAGTGGCCATTTCAGAACACAGGAAGGGCCAAGAAGCTTCAGGCCAGCACTATCTAACCCACTTATTTTCACACAGTGGACAACCGGTCACCCCTGGGAAACCCCCAGCAGGAGAGGAGTCCCAGCCCCCACCTTGCCCATGCCCCCCAGGGAGATCAGACAGAGACGGCCAGTTATTAGCTTTTCCATGTATCATTCTTGCACTTTTACTGTTGCGCAAGTCAGTGCCTGCTTTTGTGTAGTGTGGGTTGTGGAGTGGGTTTCACATGGACCTGCGCTCTTATCTTATTTTGTCTCATCTAACAAACGAAAGTCAATCGTGTGTGTAAATAAAATAATGGTATTTAAAGCTGGAGGCCGGATAGCAACCAAACAGCCCAATCAAAGTGACGTCAAGTGTGACTTGAAAAGTAATGTTTTGTGTTATGCAGTGAGTCTATGTACTGAAGTGTGCATTCGGATGATGCGTCGCCAGGGTCCTCCATTTTTTGAGCGATCTCGAGTGATTTTGCACAACGTGACTCAAACTATTTGGTCTGTATGTTCATTATCTAGGATTTGAGAAGCGAATGTTAGTACAATTATTCATGCTCTTTTATAATGGAGCAAGAGAAATATTCAGGTGGCTGGCAGTTACTGTGACAAAAATGTGGCAGGCTGTGAAGGCAGACAAAATGAAGCTGCTTGATGGGTGGAAGTAATTACTTTTGATTATTTAATCTGTACATTGTTATGTGTCCACATGCAGATTTAGTACCAGGGACAGAATACGGAGTGGGAATCTCAGCTGTGATGGATGGCAAGCAAAGTGTTCCGGCGACCAGGAACGCCAGGACCGGTGAGGGACGTAGCGACCGCGTTTCACTCGGGCATAAGACCTCGCGCCAAGGAGTGCTTCTCTCCCCCATGCTGCTGGCCAGCCAGACCCTCTCCCGAGATGTGCCCTGCCCCTTCCCCAGGTCCCCAGCCCACAAACACCCCGGCATCCTATGTCCTCTGAGCACACCCGGTCCTCGTGCAGCCATTTTGCAGAACAAGGGTTGGGGGGCGGGGGTCACTCACTTCGGTTGTTGGCGTTGCTTGCAAATTTTGTGTGCCTCCATCCCGTGGGGTCCTCCGAAGCTTCTGGGAGCTTTCTCTTGTGCATGGATGGTGATGATTCGGCTACACAAGGAGGCACGCTGAAGTCACTATTACTTCTGATAAACTAGAGAATTTGCAAGTGAAATAAAGGAATCCGTGCAACAGGCTGAATAAAGTGTGAAATTAAAGAGGCCGAGTCCTGCCGCAAGAATGTGGGCCGTGCATGAATACAATTAAAAGCAATGAATCGTGTCCTCAGAGGCTGGCGGAACTGCTGGCTTTGTTATGCGCGTCCTTCGCATGAGTGCACCTGAAGAGGGAGGCGTGAATATACCAAAGCATACAGTTGAAAACTGCAATGTGCGTGAATTTGGCTGTCAGTTCAAAGTTGTGGAGCCTTTCTTTTCCATTTTGGAACAGATATTGATTTTCTGGAGTCCACAGGAATCCAGAATGTATCCAGTCAACCAGGGGAGGACAGAAAAGACATCCCCAGGTATTTTGGACTTCACTCCTCAGAAGCCCTTCCAGTGTGACCACTGCCAGGAAAGCTGAGACCTGAAGTCCAACGCATCTGGCAATCAACCCTATGTCCTAGCACGATCTGGAAGCAGACGCGTCACCACTCTCCTCCTTCAGAGATTTTCCAGCAAAATCTAGACGGCCACTTATCTGGCTGAGGTAGAGAATTTCTTTGCCATTAGCAGGAGCTGCAACCAGATGAATTGCAGGTCCTTTCCAAATTTATAATTCATGTTTCCTCCCTCCCTCCCTCCCTCCCTGTCTCTCTCTGTGTCTGGAGAATGCTGGACGCACCCTCTTCAGCCATGTGTCAGCCTTCAGAGGGGCCATCTGCCCCACGGGTGTTCTGCCTTGAATGGGGCCAACGCCATGGGGCCCGGGCTGCAGCAGGGCAGGATAACACGCAGTCCCTGGGCCGCATGCACCCACCACGCCTTCAGCACAGCTCCGCAGCACCAGATTCGCCACAGTGGAAAAACAATCCGTGGTCTAAACTGGCCAAATTGAGCTTTAAGCCTTGGCCGACTGCTAGTGTTCTTAGGCCGTTAGTTTTCTTGTGATTTGATGGTGCCGCTGCCAGAATTTGGAGGAAGGGGCAGAGGTGCAGCCGTGGGGGCATTCCAGGGGTAGATTAGCCCCCCGAGCCCCTGAAGCGGGCCACCCCTGCCCTGCTGCAAGGGTGGGCAACTTTTGCAGCTGCCCTCTTCTCCCGACAGCAGTCCAGGCCGAAGAAACGCAACCCAACCTCTCCCAGGGGGTCAGTGCTTATCACCCCGTTGCTGCACACTTGTGCAAAGCATTTAAGTGAGAGCTTCAGCTGTTCAGTGGTATTGGACGGAAATAAATAAGTCGAATGTATATACCACCTCTCCTGTGCACAATCTGCCAGCAATGAGGATACATAATTTATTAGTCTGGCAGCATGCAAGAAAAGGCCTGGCATGAGCAATACGGTCAAGGCTACAAAGAGAGAAGAAACTCTCTCTCTCTCTCTCTCTCTCTCTGAAAACATTCCAAACAATCTTTTATTTATGAGTGAGATTTTGCCCACTGTTTGCGGCACCTTAATTCAAATTTAGCAGAACCTGCTGGGATTCAGATGAAATAGCTCAGTGGACCACCAGTTGGCCATCTCTGCTCCATGGTGGGAACTGACTGGGCGTGGACAGATGGCCGTTTCAACGTTGCCATCCTCTGCACTTCAGTTGCTGATTCCTGAGAAGAACCAAGCAAGTGAGAAAGAGCCGCTGAAGAACCTAAGAGGAGAACTGTGCCAAGAGCCCTGCTGCTCTCCACATGGGGAGAATGCACTTTGCCCCCCGCCTTTGAATGGGGAGCCAAAGCACAGGGCAGAGGGGTCGTGGGGGAGCTCTGCTAAAGCTCCTCTTGCTCCCCAGGCTGGGAGAACACCATTAAAGCTGTTGTGCCAACATCACCATCTCCCAACAGAGGAAGTCCTTCCATTGTTACAGACATGTCGGCAAGCTGGCATTTTGCACAAGGGGAAGCAGACACAGCCGACGTTTCAATGCAAATGCTGCCGCAAGAACCAAAGCCAGCCTTGAGTTCCAGGATGTGGAGTCTTTGCTCTGCCCGTGCCGCGCTTCTTTCCCGGAGCGGCTTCCAGTGGCCTCCCCGAGCGTGTACGGCTGATATCCGTGTAGCAATGCCAGGCATGCCGCATTAGGGGCTTGTGCATTTAAGAACACCGCTCCATCACGCCAAAGGAGGCAAGGAAAGGCAGATCCCACAAGCGGAAGATCGAAGACCCCGCTAAAGGAAGAGAGGGAGGGAGACTGGGTGCCAAACTATTTTGGTCCGCCTCTACGGAAAGGAGAAAACTGGACTGGCCACCACCGCTGTGGCAACCACTGTGGGTGCAGGATCTGGCCGGGGGCTTTGGGTATCTCCACTTTTGGGAAGGGCTCCACCAGCACAATGCCACAGACAGACATCCGCTCCCCAACTTGCTTTGAAGGGATGCTTTTCAAATGAAAACCCCGTGATTATACGTAGCTGTTGTTCCATTATTGCTCAAGGTTTGCTCATGCCAAAGTCCAGATTCTGACCTGCTGGCTCCCGGGCTGTTTTCCGCTCCTCCCGTTCTCCTTTAAAACTCTCCATCTGTTGCCGCAGACCTCGACGGCCCGAGCAACCTCCTGGTGACGGCTTCCACAGAGACCTCCATCTCGGTGGCCTGGACCAAGGCGAAAGGCCCCATCGACCACTACCGAGTCACCTTCATCCCCGCGTCAGGCATGGCGTCGGAGGTGACCGTTCCCAAGGACAAGGCGGAGTTCACGCTGTCCGAGCTCGAGCCCGGCACAGAGTACACCATCTCGGTCATTGCAGAGAGAGGGCGCCAGCAGAGCCTGGAGAGCACGGTGGATGCTTTCACAGGTGCGGCACGGTGGGTCGCGGTAATGCGGGGCTGTGCGCTGTCTCAGGTGCCAGGTGCGCAGGGCACCAGACCTGGCATGGAAGATCCGTCCTGCAGGTCTCTGGTTTTAAAAGATTAAAAACTGGTTGAAGGCCAACATGGTCACTGCGAGATGAATAGGAGTGCTGCGTGGGTAAGCACTGAACACGGAGGGGGTTACTCCCTCGGATCACTTTGCACATGCTCAGGAACACTCAGCCTCCCGGCACGTGCCCCTCTCCAGGGCTGGGTAAGGCACTGCCAGTCCTTCCCGGGCTTGCAGCTCTCCTCTGCCTTCTTGGTTCCAGGGTTCCGGCCAATCACGCAGCTCCACTTTTCTCACGTGACGTCCTCCAGCGTGAACATCACCTGGAGCGACCCCTCCCCGCCGGCCGATCGGCTGATCCTGAACTACAGCCCCAAGGACAAGGAGGAGAGCAAGCAGGTGGTGCTGGGCCCTTCCAGGAGGCATGCTGCCTTGTCCGGCCTGCAGCCATCCACGGAGTACATCGTGTCCCTGGTGGCCGTGCACGGCCTGGTCAGCTCGGACCCCATCGTCGGCTCCATCACAACAGGTAATGTGGGGGGAGGCGCCCCACCTGGGCCCTGGCTGCTGTGCCAGAGGTGGGCAGGCAGCCAGCGCGTGGGAAAGCCAGCAGCCAAAGTCCGCCCTCAGGTCTTCCAGGCGAGAGAAGTCCTGGAGAGCCCTTTCGAGCCAGACTGGATGGACGGACACTCCCACCGTCCTGGATGACCAGCAGGAGTCCCAGTGTTTGGGGCCCTCCACACTCTGCAAGCGTGTGCATGGAAGCGCGGTCTGACCCTTGGGCGCTTCCGTGTACCTGTCTGCAGGTGCACAGGTACCCACGCGGAGCTGGGCCGGTCCTCTTGTGGTGTGCAGCTGAGGAGGCGCCTCCTGAACAGCCAGTGACTTATTATAGAAGCATCCAGTGTGTGGGGTTCACTTTTGTTTTTGTTGTGCTCAGATAGCTTTGCTTTTAAGTCAGCGCAAGAGAGATGGTTGCAGTGCCATAAAACCGCACAAAACAAGGCAAGAGGAGCCCTCGCCAATGCAGTTGTGTGTGGGACAGGCAGGCAGGCAGGCAGGGGAAGGACAGAACGTCTTGAACCACAGTCCTGAACCCACTAAGCCCCCCTGGACTCAATCTAAGCTCTCTAGTAATAATACACTGTGTGCAGACAGGGTTGTAACACATAATCAAGGGCATCTGTGGAATGTGGAAGTGGGTGGGATCATCCGAAGAGGACGCTTCCCCTCCATCTCTTGTGCCATAAGTCCCAAATTGTGTCCTATTGAGAGAGCTGCCCGTGAGTTGCAAATGATACTTGAATGAAGGCAGCAATCCTATATCCACTTACCTGTGAGTACATCCTGTTGAACTCCATGGGAATTTCTTCTAAGTGGTCATGTATAGGATTGTGCTATAATGGGTTGAAAGTAGGGTGGAGGTGAGCTCTTTCAGAACCTGTCTCCCTACCGGCAGGTGGGGACAGCGGGAGAGTGGAGGGTTTTGATTCAGAGGAAAACTGTGGCCTGGCTATCAGAGGGGAAGGGCAGACGTGGAAGGCCAATGTGGCTCATGGGCAATTCTCCCCGTGGTTCCCTGCATGCTTCGCAAGACAGAGGTGTGCGCTTGTTTGCCTGGATATGTCTGGCAGGCAAGCAGGTTGTTTCTACACCAGCATGGTTTCCACCCTCCTCTCTCAGTCCACCCTCCCATCAGCCTGAAATTCAGTCCCACATGGCTGACTGGAGCAGCTGCCACTCTTCCCAGGGCAGCACGTGGAAACCCCAATGCCAGGTCCAGACATGCAGAGAAACCATGGTGAAGCGTGGAAACCACAGAAGAAGCCATGGCTTCCTATCATGGTTCTTATCCTATCACACCACACTGAAATACCATGACAAGGTTTGGACAACACAACAGACCATCCTGCACAAGAAACCACTGTGGCTTGTCGTGTTGTGCAAACCCACCCAGAGCCATCAGAGAGGAGCCCATGCACCATCTTCAGTCTGGCACAGTGGAAGCAGCAGAAAGCACGGCAGCCTAGCAGGAGGGGAGGCCTGGCTCTGCCATGGCCAGGACTGCAGGTGTGCCACTTCCTGCCCAACCTCAGCTTGAACTTCCAGTTTCTGCCACTCTTTGCCTCTGCATGCCCACGCAGCAGATTAAAGGGATTGTTAGCAACATCTTTCCTGCCGCCCTCCTACACCTGCAATCCCCATCACTACCAACTGTTGAACTTGACACAATAGATCCCAAAGCTCCTTCTTTTTAAGCAGGCTAATTTGTCCTGGGCTGCTAGCACAGCCGCCTTCAGCTGCATCCTTCTATTGTCTCAGTGCTGAATTTCACTCTGAGACGGCAAATGATGCCAAATGTAGTACAAGGGAATTATACATGTATGCGCCATTAACCGCAAAATCCACAGAGCAGCCAAGAATCCGGATTTGTTTGGGGCACGTTCATGCTGAAATTCCATTCAGAGCACCTTGTTCATCCCTCCAGCTGAAGTCTGTGTGGGAGAGGGAAGCCTGCCCCCCAACCCCCGACAGCAAGCATGTTCCTGGACTGTGCTGGCTTGGATCACAGATGAGGCAAACACCACTGAATGCTCCCCATATGGGGCAGGCAGGAATCCCTTGCAGATGGAAAGAAAACCAGCATGCTTGTGAAAGGCGCACAGGAATATCTTAGAAAGTGAGCCAAGCCAAGGGGACATCCATGAACCTTCTTCCACATCACATGCAGCAGAAACTGAGGCTGCAAATTGCCAGCACGGAGCAGGGGCACTACCCGCAAAGGGACCGTGCGCATCTTCTTTCCTGGGCGATCTTGGAGCCCGTGCTGGATGCTTCTCCTAACCAGCACCCCTCCTGGTATCAAAATCAACTCCTCAAATGAGGAATGAAATGTATAATCATGTTCACTGCCTTGCCAATTACTATGGTAAATGGAGCCAAGCCGCTGCAGCGAGACCCCTGCGAGGTAGGCTCACAAGGACGCGTCGGTGCGCTTTCAAGGCCCTCTCATCAAACACGACAGCTAGGAGGTTGCTTTTTTGAGAATTGGGAGATTCTCGATTTGTGCCGAAAAGTGTCACCAAGCAGTATTGCTGCGTCTGCCTTTTTTTCCTTGAGAATTTTGTGCATATTTCACCATCAGTTAAAATGGAGAGGCAAAAACAATCCAGCTTTGCTTAAATTTGGGAAATCAAAAATGCGCCTTGCCTGCCTCCTCCATCTTTGAAAGGTTCGCGCTCTTCCAAAAGCACGTGGAGAGGCTGTTGCGGTTCAGCAGGTCATGTGGGGAACGTTCCCTGTTTCCAAAGGCAGGCCGAATCTCCTGACTTTCAGCTTCTTCAGGAGAGCAGAGTGGAGAATGGGCTTGATGCTCCTTCCCCTAATCATAGAAACAGCAAGAGTCAGAAGGGGTCTCCTGGGCCATATAGTCTGACCCCGGCTCCAACAGCCTCCACTCACAACATGCCCACCATGTGCATGTCCGGCCTGTCCTTGAACCCCCTCACCAATGGGGCCTCAACCACTTCCCATGGAAGTTCTTCCCATGTCCTCGGGTCCTAACTGTCAGGAAGTGCTTCCTGGCATCCACCCTCAATCGTGATCCTACTATAGACAAGGGCTGCCTCAGCCCTGAGAAAGACGCAGTTCACCTTGTCATTGGCCCGTATCTGAATGAACCTGGTATTTCAAAAATGACTGATACTGAGGAGACCAGTGATTGTTATATTTGTCCGTGTATTTATAGATATTAATATTCTACCTGTTCCCAGTACTGGGACTCCAGGCAGCTTAAGTTAAAAACGTATACAATTAAAATGTAAATCAAAATATACAGAAGTCAAAATTATAGTTAAATCAGTAGAATATGAAAATGATGTAAAATAACAAAATTAAATATGCTAAGCATGAATGGAATAGAGTATTTTGATTCACAAAAGTGATAAAAGGATGTCAAGTACCATTTTAAAGGTCCTGTTCATGTCAAGATCTTTATGGGAATTCCACGTGGCGGGTTTTCCATCAATGCCAAAGTCCACACTCCCTTGGAGACCAATTTGCAATAGAACAGAGTTGGTCTTCCTGTTCCCTGGCCTTGCCCAAGAAGAAATCAGATCTTTATGCAGAATGTACTTATTCAGCCCATCAAAATGTTTAACATCCTCAACAGGAGGAGGGGAATATCTCCGTTGCCATGAGAACAGGCCCTTTGTGGGCGACTTCACCTAGACAATCCCCTAACGTGCAGTCCCTCCACACGTGGACGTTCCTCAGCTCTTCTCTCTTTGCCTCGCTTAGGGATCGATCCGCCAAGGAACCTGACCGTGGACAACGTGACTACAGAATCTGTGGCCATCCACTGGGCCCCTCCGGTTGCCTCCTTTGACCACTACAGACTAGCCTGGAGATCGGCCCAAGGTAAGCCCCCTGCAGCCCACAAGTCCACGGCTGCTGTCTTGGATTGCAGTAAAAGACACTCCATGGGGTTTAATGGGGAGGAAGGCAAATTCTGGCTGAATGTTAGGAAGAATGAGAAATCACAGAATCATACAATAGTAGGGTTGGAAGGGGCCATGAAGGCCATCGAGTCCACCCCCCTGCTGTTGCAGGACACCAAGTCACACCCTCCCACTCAGGTGGCTGCCCAGTTTCCCTTTGAATGTCTCCAGTGTGGGAGAGCCCCCCACCTCTCCGGGCAGCTGGTTCCACTGGCACATTGCTCTGACCGTGAGGAAGCTTTTCCTGAGGTCCAGCCTGAATCTGGGATGCCACAGCTTGAATAGATTATTCTGTGTCCTGCACTCTGGCATCAGCAAGAAGAGATCTTGACCTTCCTCTTTGTGACAGCCTTTGAGGGACTTATAACGGGATCTCATGCCCCCCCTCAGCCTTCTCTTCTCAGGGCTGAACATGCCTAGGTCTCTCCGTCTCTCCTCGCAGGGCAGTTTCCAAACCCTGGATCATCTTTGTCGCCCTCCGCTGAAGCCTTGCAGGAGCAGTTCTCTAACAAGGCGACACTGCCTCACCTTTGCGATCACTTGGGGGAACCTCAACATTACCAACGTGGTGCAGCTTCCCATCATGCTGAGCAGCTTCCCACTTTTCTACAGGGTCTCATACATTCTGTCAAACCTTAGCCCCGGGACCACACACAGGGGTCTTTAGCTGACTGCCGCCAGCTTCTCTGCGCTCTCAGCATCTCATCCCAGCTACCTGTGGAGGGCTATGTGAGGAAGACGGCCAGCATTCCTGCCCCCCCAGTCTCACAGAGTGCAGCGCTCTTTGCAGCCCTCCCAAATACACGTTGCTCCCTACTTTTCCACCTGATGCTAAGATGGATCGAACACTAGACTGTTGCTGGCATAGGATTTCTACCCCACATACCCTCAGCCAATAGAGCACAGAAGTTTCCCCAGACATATGAAGCACGTGTGGCAATATGTTTTTTCCAAAATAACCCTTCTTCAAAGAGAAGGGATTTAACATGAGGGGCTCTGAGCGGCTCACCTTGATGGCCACTGAAGGGTGCAGTCCTAGGCAGGTTTAGAGGAAAGCGTCAGCCATGCTGACTGAGGAATGCTGGGAGCTGTAGGGCTCTTTTCTCTCTAAACATGGGCAGGATTGGACCATTAGGTGACTGCTCAGCCTGAGCCAATGTCATCACGAGTTCCGTGTTAGGTGTGTTAACAGGGCTTCCTGTGAAGCCAGGCACACAACGCACTCCCATCCGTGCTTGCGCATGCCCGGATGTGGCATGCTTGACGGACTTATCTCCAGGTAAGGTTGCATACGATTACAGCTTTCATGTGCTAAAAATAGTCTTCGGCTGTGGATCCATAAGATTAAAGCACCCAGACTTCAGAGTTTGTCACTTCAAGGGAACAGATGGGCTATTAAAATAAAGGAAAAGTAAATGTTTTGACAAGGGACCTTCATTTGCATTTGGCAAACACCTCAAACTAGCGGCTTCTTTACCAAATGACATTTGCTAATTATTCTGAAACAGCTATTTCCTTCCCAAGGTATAGGTGAGTTGTCAGTCTGGCCTTATAGAGGTAAGGTTTATGGATCACTCTTTGCGTTAAAAATGATCAAAGAGGTGCTTTTGCATTAGACGTACACAGAGGCACTCAGATCATGCTCTACTTCTGCATTTTGCACATTGGTTGCAGGACATGCTGGCATGATGCCAGTGTTTCTGGAGGGCTTCTAGAAGAGGGGTGTTGTGGACACCCCAGGTCTGAACATGTCCAAGCAATGCTCAGGCAAGCTGTCAACATGTTTTAAGTATGGCGTATTCCTTCTGGATTAGGCCACCTCATCTGCTGCAAGACCAGGAAGATGGACCAGCTGCACCCTAAGACCACGTGCCCATCACAAGCCAACTTCACCGACCAAGCGCACCACCAAGGGAATCTCTTGTGCATATCCCCAGATGTGTCTTTAGGCTCTCGGTCATGGCGCCCTGCATGAACTGAGGCTATGCCAAATTACGGCAGGAGTTCTTGAGAATCTGGAAATGGATGTTTGCACTGGCTGCATTCACACCACACGGCAGCCCAGCCGGCATGGCTCCCCTGGTTTGCAGCTGTTTACCATGAGCTCCCTTACAAATGGTTTCCACTTGATCCTCCCCACTCAGTCTTTCCACTATCGGGATATATCCTTCAGCTGCTCTGCCTGAAATTCAGTCCCAAGATGGAACACTCCCTGCCTGTGTCACCGGCCTCTTCCTCTTTGGTCCAGGCAGAAAGGCTGGAGCAATTCCTGCAGCTGCTACTCTTTCCAGGCAAGGGAGTTTCATTCCAGGGCTGCGGAAGCCGTGCTCCTGGTTTAGACATGATTTTGTCCTTCTCTTATGATGCCTCCCTTTAGTTCTGTGCTGGAGTTCTGTTCACCCTCCAAAAGCAGAGCAGAAATATAGTTTCTCAGAGCAAAGGTCTCATTGCACCTGCAGCTCAGCTCACAATCTATTTGTATTCCATCCCTGCAGAAACTTGAAGTAGAAATAAATGTTTTCTGCCTTTGGCCTGCCCTTTCCTAATTGCTCAAACATTTTGGAACTGGGTAGTATCCTCAAAGTTAGTTTTTTTCTTTGGGTTATCCTGTGCCATCCAAACCTTGGCTGTTGCTAGGGAAAAGCCACGCTGGGGCTCCAGTCTTTCCTTATTCTTGCTCTCTGCCTTTCTTTTCCAGCCATGCACTGCTCATAGCTTGGAACCTTCTCCTCACCTGCTGGCTCAAGCTGTGAGCAGCTGGAGATGCTGTCTCTGGGTGTGTTGTGTAAAAGCGAGGCCGTGGGCACTGCTGGTACCTCCCCAAGGCTTGGGTCCAATCTCACGGTTCCGGACCGAGCCCTCACTAATCTATTGCATCCACACAGCATGGGGCTATCCATGGTCAAGATGACTCGGGGGATGCCAGGGAACGTATTCAGGCCAATTTCTTCCGGGTGACCATGGCAAGGGAAGGAAGGACCACCGAATATGGCCTCTTTACCACCTGAGAGGTAGCCAAGGCTGGAAATTCTGTCCTTCCAACTTCGAGCTTCTGCCAGGACGCCTCTTGGGGAGATGGGTTCACTGGGAGATAATGGGGCCGTTTTCTCAACCCATTCAGGACGCGTGGACAGCATCGTGGTTGCCAAAGGGGTCACGAAACACGCCCTCAGCCACTTGCAGCCTGCCACGGAGTATGAGGTCACCTTGAAGAGTGTACGGGGCAGGGAGGAAAGCGAGCCCCTCTCGCGCATCATGTACACAGGTACGGAATGCAGCCTGTGGTATACCAGCCGGCTGTGAGGTTCTGGGTAAAACCAGTGTGTGGGGTGGCCAGAGTCCTGGAGGGGTTCTAGGCCCTGCTTGGCCATGGAGCCAATTGGGTGACTTTGGGCCACTCACTGCACTCAACTCCTTAGAAGAGGGGGAAAGGTGGGATATAAATGCAATCGAGGAAGGACAACGAAGACACGGAGACGGAGACAACACAGGTGGTTATGATGAAAAGCCCTCGGTGGCTAAGGGAGGGATAACTTGGCACTCCTGCCTGAGCTGCTGTAGCAGCATGGCGGGAAGGCATGGGGAACCAGGGCATTCGTGGTTCCGTCCTTACCTCTGGCAATACAGGAGGCCTCAAGGCTAACCAGGTGTCTCCCTGCTTCAGCCCTTTCCCTTGCCTCATATGATGTTTGTCCTATCAGTGGGTGTCAACTTGAGAAGCTTAACAATTATATTGTATTATATAGATAAGAGTTCCGAAATTCCTGGCAGTGATAAAAGGCTTCTTTTCATGAGGTACCAGTGCTTAGCAGAGGTTTCTTCTTCTTTGTGGGAGGAAGAAGGCATCCTTTGCATGAGTGTTTTCCCTCAGAGTCTGCCTTTCTCTGCCCTTCTCTATATTCCATTAGCCAACCACAAGGTGGAACTGTGGTATAGCTGCAAAAAGCAGAATTCTGACCATTTTCATTCTGGTTCGCTCCACATCTGAAATTTGATCGCTGACTCTCCTCACTGTAAAAAGACCAGAAAAACAAAACTAAAGAAAACACACAGAAATGTCTGGAAAATGCAGGAGAGGCCCTGACGGGCGATGGCCATCGTGAAAAGTACCCACAGGGTACTGAGCAAGGGATCACAAGCGCACAACAAATGCCTTGTGCAGCGAAGCCCAAAGCCAAGTGGCAAGAGCTGAGTTAGTCTGAAGAAAGCATATCTGTGTTCCACAAGAAGGTTCGGTTTATTTGGGGTGATAATAGTTTCGGCTTTTTTGTCTCTTTCTTAAACAAAAACCTCTCAAAGCACAGCCCTACTGAGAAGGATGTTGTAAAGGAGAGACACAAGTAATAATAAAAATAATATTTCTTTATTATAATAATATTGGTAAAATATATAGCAAAGTAGGGTAAAAATAATACTATTGGGTCCCACTGGCACAAGCATCGATGACTCTACCTAATTCCATACTTCTGTGATTCTGACGGCAGCACAGAAGCGTCTTGTGCACCAAAACTGAACTCAGCATGAAACAGGGGCCATGATGCGGGTTGTGCTTTCTGATTGTCTGCTTTGATTCTGCAGCTTTTTTGGGGGCTTCTGCAGTGCTTGAGGCTGTTCTTCAGGGTTATTTCTTTGTCAGGGCTAACAGCCGAATGGAATAAATGACTGCAATGGTTCCTTCCTCACCTGGACTCTCTTTTGCAGCCATGGATAACCCAGAAGGCTTGACTGCCACCAATATCACACCAACAGAAGCTCTGCTGGAGTGGGTGCCACCCAGGGGTGAGGTTGAGAATTATGTCATCGTGCTCACACATGACACAGGTATGTTCGTGTCTTCTAGAGGCAGGTGAGGGGAGGCTTGGCCTTTGATGGGCTGGAGGAAGGCACCCAGCAGGTGACAGAAAGGGGCCCCGAGTCCCCGTCTGCCTCCACACAGCCTCGGGCTCTGTCCCAAGTGCCTGGGCCTACCGTCTGCCCCCAGGTCATGCTCATCTACCAGAGGGCCAGCCCTGAACGTGGAAGGCCGGAGGGAGAGGGCAGAGTCACTGAAGCCCTTGGAGGAAGAAGCCGCGTGGGAGCTGCAGCTCCCAGCCATGGGGATGTTTTTGGGCCTGCAGAGCTGTGCCATCTGCACCTCTCCATTTCTGTCACACAGTTCAGTTTCAGCCACATACACAAAAAGCACAACGAGGGCCCTGCTGGGAAAAGCCTCTGCTGTTGCTGAGGAAGCCAGTGTCCCTTGACTGCATGTCTGAAGGAAGAGCATGACGCTAGTGCAGAAAGAGGCACAGGACCAGCTTATCCCTCCAAAATGCCCTCTACTTTTGCTGGCACCCCTGCCAGAGTACGACGGGCTCATACTGGTCTGATGTCCGCTCCGTGGGGTTCCTCATGGCTTCCTTCCGATGGCCCCCAGTCTTGACCGGGGACAGAATCCCGTGCTGATCTCAACCTTATGGAGGGTTCATCCATATGCTCCAGTCACGGCCCAGTGTGAAGTCCTCCTATGTGGCTTTTGAGATTGCCACATTTGCGTCAGGCTAAGAACTAGCTGAAGGTGGGACCATTCCCCTGGGTGGAATTTCCAGCAAAGGTTCACTTTCCGTTGGTTCCCACACTGGAAGGCGTTCGCCTCTGATCACCTCATGCTCTGTACACTCTCTCTTCTGATTCCAGTTGCGGGAGAGACCATTTTGGTCGATGGGGTCAACCAGGAGTACCAGCTGACGGATCTGCTTCCAAGCACCAGCTATGGAGTCACCATGTACGCCACCAGTGGGCCCGTCACCAGCAGAACCATCTACACCAACTTCTCCACGCGTAAGTTTAGCATATCCTTCCCCCTGTTGGAGCTACGGTCAAAACCGTTTAGAAATCTCTTCAGAGGGGTGGAAGAGAAACCAAACTATTGGCTGATATGGTAAGTCCATAGTTTGACACTCTTGAATTAGCTTAGGTACCCAGAATATAGCTTTACTGTCATAACCCCACCTCCAAAAGCACCAAGGTCTTCAGGGTTAACCAAGCATTAAATCTGTTTCTGCTGCTTCTTGGGATGGAGATTTCCTTCAGCCTGCCCTCTTCAGCAGTGACACGGAGCTTTTGTTAGTCCTCCGATGGCTGAAGAACCTGGAAGGCAGCCTTCAGTTAGAAAATTGCCCATTGCTCTGCAGGATTGCTTAAAAAAATTAATTGTCCTCCAAATCAACCTACACGCCCCTGCTTTGATTCCTTTTCCAACCTCTGCAGTTTTGGATCCTCCATCCAATCTGACAGCGAGCAAAGTGACACGGCGGAGCGCGCTTCTCTCGTGGCTGCCCCCTATGGCCGATATTGAGAACTACATCATGACATACCGGTCGCCCGATGGAAGCCGCAAGGTGAGCCCGGTGATGGGGCCGGGGGCTGGGCCAAACGGTCTCTCGGCCTGGGGTTGCATTTTGTGGTTCTGCTTGAGGACAGCAGTTCAGCAAAGGCTCTCCGCACTCAGTGCGTTGCCCCTTTGCTCTGGCTCTGGCCACCAGCTCTGGCCACTGGTTTTTTAATCCTATAAATACAAATAAATTAACAATTAAAATGAGTTTTAAATAAAAAGGTCTTAGCCTGGCGCTGAAAAGCAAATAAGGACGGCGCCAGGCGGACCTCTCTGGGGAGCACATTCCATAGATGGCTCAGTGCTGTCTCAGCTCTACAAGGCCTATGAGATGGGGCTGTTTCCCCCACGAAGCCCATTCAGAGTGAGGGAAAGGTCACGTCATCCGAAGCAGGTGAGGCCTGCCAATCTATCACTCTCTCTGCTGGTTTGCACTGATGCCTTTTTAAAAAAATGAGTGACACTTTCTTGGGTTTGGGCTGCACTAAATGCCCTGCTCCAGTTAGAAGGCATTCCTGAGGCTGCTTTTTCTCGCAGCTCGCTCGTTTTGGCTGGAGCTTAGTGTAGTTACATCGGCAAAATCCCCGCCTGGTATCCCTCAGGACCAAATCCCAACAATCTGAACGCTTCTGGCTTCTACTTCCATATGTCTTGCGTAAGCTCCACCAACATCTGCTCTGCTTTCCATCCTGGAGTACAGGAGCTGATTGTGGATGCGGAAGACACCTGGATCCGCCTTGAAGGGCTCTCGGAAAATACGGAATACACCGTGCGCCTGCAGGCAGCCCAGGACGCCATGCGGAGCGGGTTCACCTCCACCACCTTCACGACAGGTAAGGGGCTGCCTCACCCGACATGCGCCTGCACTGGCGTGGCTGCAAATACTTTGCCCTGAGGCCTCATCCGGTTGTCCTGAGCACCCCAAGTATTCCGCATCTTGCATTACATTAACTTTGCATTTTATTGCATTCTGCATCATTTGCAGTTTTGTTTATTTAAACCATTGGCTAGTCACCCTACAGATGTAGCTCCTAGAACAGTCCGCAGATAAATCGTGCAAATACAACACAGATAAAGAAATATGCACAGGAAACCAGCCAGTCATTGTGGGCATTTAAAAATAATGCAGCATACGTCTATCAACTTGGGATTTTTTCTATAATTGGCTGGAGAAATGGGACTTGGCATAAATTTAGAGATGTTTTCAAGTTATTATAAACTGATTTGAATTTGACTATAGAATGTTAAAAAATATGCAGTAGGGGGTTGACCCAGTAATCCTATGTATGTGATGATTGATGTTTTTAGTATCAGTTTAAATTTTTAATAAAACTTTAACAAAAAAGAAAGAAAAGCATGCAGTGTAAAAGCACAAAACAGGCTTCAAGGCAAGGAAAAACGGCTTCTGCCTGGCACTGAAAGGAGAACGGAGACAGATCCTCTGGAGAGGCAAAATGGGGAAGACCCAGCCACCTCCTGCCTTGCTCTTGATGGCAAGTAGGGGATGCGGAGCGGGGCCTCTGCGACCCGCTTCGGGGGCTTTGCAGAGTTTGCAAAGCCCTCCTCCCACAGAAGGCAACAGCCTCCGTGAGAATTAGTGGGGCACGGTGTGGTCGTGGCCGCGCCATCTCTGCCCATGAGACTTTGCACCCAGTGAACGGCGCTCTGGCAGCCACTTGGACTGGGAATCCACCCTCGTCAGTTTGAGAAGTGCACAGGGGCCAGCCATCCAGCTTTTAAATTCCACGGAGTACCTCCAGGGGGAGAGGCGGCCTCCGCTGCTGCACGCCCCCTGAGGGGGCACCAGAGCAGCAGTGGAAGCGGGCCAGCGAGTGCTCCTCATCTTTATGCCCAGACATTTCTCTGGACTCATCACCAGCTGCTGCGAGCCCAACAGAACCAAGGCATGGTGGAACGGAGCGATTTTATCCTCACAATCAACAGCACTCCCCAGAGGGACCTTGCTCGTCATCCGAGCACCCCTGACAGCAAAGCCCCAGTGAGCCGGGACAGGCAGGAGGTGCGGCGGCGGAGAAGCATTGCTTCAGTTCTGCCAAAATACAGCTACAAGATGTGCTCAAAGATCCTCTGCCATTGCGTCTGGTTGTGGTCACATTTCCATCCCCTCTGCTGTAGCTGTCATCCCAGTCACTTCATTTTCCCAAGCCCCTGGTAAATCAGGGGCTAAACAGACTGTCCATTTTAGACAGAATGAAATCTGGTCTTATGAGAAATCCTATTTCTTTGCCAGATAGTTGATCCTACATGAAATTGCTGTCCACTGAGGGGCAGAGAGCCAAGAAAGGCTGTTGCCCAGAACAGCAGCACCATTTCCGCAGCTGGTGCAGCTGCCTTGCAGTCCTGCCCTCTGCCGGGGTAGCCAGTCCCATGGGGAGGAGCTGGAAACCCCAGATGCTTCACCCACATTGTCTGGATGTGGCTTATGGGGTGGGAGGGCAGGACTCAACACAGACCTGTCAGCTTGCCAGCACGTCTGTGTTCGTTGCGACCTGTGCTTCGGCCTTAGATCAGAGAAAGCAAACCGCTTCATTTTCAGGTTCCACTGCCTAACCTTCATTTATTCATAATACAGCAAGTCATTTTGGTTATCAGGATCAGACTCCCCAGTCTGAATCCGTCCTCTGCTGTTGAAAATTTAGATCGGCTTATGCAACTAATGGTTGTGATCCAGGGGCTGGTGCATTTGAGAAAGCAGCAGGTTTTCCGGAAAGAGAATGCCTCTTTGGAGGAAGCACTTCTGGAAACCCCTTAAGAATGCGAGAAGCTCATGAAGGCCGGACGGACGTGGAATTGCTTCTCTGGAAAAGACAAAGTGGTCAAATCCAATTACATCGGTACCTGGCTGTTTAAAAAAGATGAAAGGAGCTGTCCCCCCTCTGGTGCTGAAATCGCTCCCTCGGTGTTTCTATCTAGCGGTCTAAAAGGGCTGCCTCTGACCCGCTGCAGATATACGGAGACGCATGAAAGGCTTCTGACACGCAGCTGTTATCCACAGCCAGAAGCCTCACTTGCCTCACACAGCTGCAGTTCAGGGGCTGCGGCATTTTTCTCCCTTCCGCTTCAGCTGGTGGGAAAGGTGAGGCAGAGTGGGCTGCGAGGGAGGAAAGCCGACAAGGAGCCGATCCCGCTCGTAGCATGAAAAGTGCCTCCTGCAGCAGGGGCCGTCTAGAGGTACTTGGCTTCCAGTGCTTGGTGCCGGCTGATTTATGTGGAGGTGACCAACCTGGGCTGTTTGGGAGCTCTGGGGTGGCTTGCTCACTGCACCTGCCTTTGGGAGACATTCCTTCCGTCCGGCTCACAATTCCATGGACCAGGAGCACATGCGGAGTCTGTCCCGCCTGGAGCCAGCTGGCTCTGTGCCCACGGAGGTCCGTCTCTGCGCCAGTGAGGTCCATGCCCCACGCACACGTCCTTGGCCGCCGTGCATTTTTTTTCTCGTCGCCTTCCCCCCTCCTTGGCGCTTGATTTGTAAATTAGAGACTTGTGACATTCAAGACAGTCCCTCTTCTTCAGTCTCTGACCCACAGACCCTGGTTCCCTAACTGCCAGGTGTGTGGGGGGGAAGCACACACTATGAGACTCCCCCAAAACTTTAGTTTTAGCTTTAAATGCCATGAACCTGCCATGAAGCAGGAATATCTTCAGCTGCTTGTGTTTGCTCCCCCTCATTCACAAAAATTCAGGCCTCTTTCTCCCACTCCACTTTGGGGTGTGTCTTGTGTTTTACTCTGCCTGGTGCCTATAAAACCCCTTCCCCAGCCACACCCCATTTGTGAAGTCCGCCCCTAAATCTGTTTTCTTGAAGCTCCCCTTTTCTCAAAGCTTCCCCCTCTCAGGCTAGGTTCTCCTGTCCCTCCACATCCAGGGCTGCCCATTTTAATTGGAAGATAAATCAACTCTAGCATAATGTGATTAATAGATACATGCCAATTTTAATTGGTGAAGGAATGCGTTTTGTTAATGGGGCTTAGACGTAAGGGCATGCTTATTTGTCTTGCTGAAACACTTTTGATTCCAGAGTTGTGTGCACTGTAGTACAGACTGTGTTGTATGGATGTATAACAGCGAAAGAAAAAGAACAAATATGTGCACCTAGACTTAAATGGTTATATGCTGTCCAATAACATAAGTTCTTCAGGCAGTTTCCGATAAAAATTAAAAACATAAAAATCTAATAGAAAATAAAACCATACTGATTTCTCATTTGACATACTTTTGATTCCAGCATACAGCATTACTCTGTGAAAATTTGTAACAGGGAACAAAGAGGAAGAAAACGGAGCAGTGTCCTTCGCTTATTAAGTTTTAAGCTTTCTTTAAAAAGGTGCCTGTCTTGCAGAAGCTTGGTGATAAATTCGTTCGCATGTGGCCAGTTAACTAAACCCATTAATGAAAAGGTGGATGATTAATCAGCTACCAGTTCTCCAGCTGAGTGATTTTTCAGTCTCGTTCCCAGAAACCATGTAGTTCCTCCGAACCTTATCACTGGTTCTTCAATTAGAGGATCAATAATAGGAGACAAGCTCCTCTGAAAGGCCGTGTTCCCTCCACTACCCATCCTCCCCCACAGCGTGTGGGGAACGGTGCAGGGGACACGCATGGCCAAGGCGTTCATTCGCATGGCACAGCTGGGAGGCCCAACAGGCCTGAGCGGCGCCTGGCGCATGTGCCTCAAGATGGACCTCGGAGTCCTTTGCAACAGGCAGGGTTTGCACAAGGACAGGGATTTCTCAGCAGATGCCTCAGTTTGGAAGTGTTCACTGCTGGTAGCCCAGTGGACTACTAAATCCTCAGTCCGTCTAGAGGAGACCCCTTGGCAGGAAGGTCTGTGCCACTGAGATTCTAAGCAGTGATGGACACAAAGAGCAAAGACACACACGACTCGGCAAGAGGCTTTGGCTTCCTCTTTCCAAAAGCTCAGAATGCATGTTTTGTTAAAGGCAAATTTGGATCCCACACCGGGGAGTCTTCCCATCCTTTTGTTCATGAAAACCCATTTGGAATTTTTTGCGGCTGGAAGAAATTTACCCCTTTTCCCCTTACCAGCATTTCCCTGCCGGAAATCCACACCCTGGCTGGTGTTTGCCTTCCAAGCCGGTGTTTGTGGAAACACCGAAAGCAAGTAAGGGCAGGAATACAGCCCAGAGCTGGGGGAAGAGGTGAGGCGGAAGCTGTCCCCTTCCCACTGTGATGAAGTGAGGAATCCCGAGGGCACAGTCCAAGCATGCCCGTTCCTGTAATGCACAGCTTGATCCTAAGAAAGCTGAGAATCAAGCCAAACAGCCTGATTTACTCTGGTAATGCTCTCCAGGAAAACAATAAGTTATGATTAACAAAAGAGGAATATTTCTCAGGGGTGCAGTGGGTGTGTTAAGCCCACTCGTGTGGGCTCGAGACAGAGCAAGGGGCATTCATGCCTTCCGTTGTGTTGATAAGTACCTGTCCTTTGTTGCTCACACACATGTTGAGCTCCAGGGAAGCTGCAGTCCAAGAAACCCAAAAGGAGCCTTATTATGAATGTTTCCCATTTCTTCCGAGGTCTGTTCAGGGTTCAAAAGGTATGAATGTGGAATGAAACAAGCAGGGACGGCGAGGGGCTGGAGCAGACAGGTGGTCTGGCTGTGCCAGGTGTGGCGAGTCTGAAAGGCACGGAAACAGTGAGAAGCTGGGCTCACCCATGCGTGCGCAACAAGGACTCTTTCAGTAGCTTGGATCTGTTGCAGCATCCGGCTTTGGGGCCCTCCACTCCACGGATGAAGGGGCCCCTGATGCCCTGAGGGGGGCTCAGCCCATGCTCCACACTAACCTGCAAGGTGCCTCTTTGCTGTGCTCATCACACACCCTGTGCACGCACCACAAGATGCTTCCACTGCAATCGGGCAACCTCTGGCCGCTGGCCACGGGGGCCGGGGCTGATGGGAAGTTGCTGTGAATGGCCACGCATGGAATTAGCACGCCGAGTCACCTCTGAGTGAAGCCGGCTCAGTTTGCTCTCCCGGCGGTGAGCCTGCAGGGCCGATGTTCTTCCTGGGAACCGATGTGCAAGCATCCGGGCAGGTAAACCGGAGCATGAGCTGCCACTGCCCTCTCTCTGCAGGCGGCCGAGTGTTCATGAATCCCCAGGACTGTGCCCAGCACCTGATGAATGGAGACACGATGAGCGGCGTTTACACCATCAGCCTGAATGGAGACCTCAGCCAGCGAGTGCAGGTGTACTGCGACATGACCACGGACGGCGGAGGATGGATTGTGAGTGGGCAGACGGGGCCTCGTGCGTACGGCCCCCCTTTTCCCTTTCCGAAACATGCCTGGATTCCTTGCAGAAGCCAGACGGCCCGGTTCCCCAGTTCCTCACAGGCCTCTGATTGCAAACGGTACCGAAAACAGGCAAAAATAGAGTGATATGAAAGAGGCAGAGGAGCAGTTTATTTACTTACTTACTTACTTAAAACATTTCTATGCCACCCCATTCGCAAAAAGGATGCATGGGGCGGGGCTAATGAATATGAATAAGATGAATCCATTTGTATGCACAAGTTTATGTTATCATTCATACTTCACATTTTCCAATTCAGGGTATCCTAGGTAGGCTCCTTAAAAATATCTTTGCAGGAATCCTGAATGTGTGAATTTGGTTCCCTGCCTCAGGACAGCCCAGTAAAGGGAAGGCTGAGCACAGACCTACGGGGATGAACTCCGTATCATTGCCCCATAGAGGCAGCCTTAGCTTTGCTGGGCTCTAAGAGCTTCCCTGGGCCTCTCTAGCCATGATGCACTGAGGACAAGCCACTCGCAGGATCGCTGCCCATGTGGATGCATGTGGAGAGACCCAGAAAGTGCCATCGGGAGTCCGTGGCATTGCACAGAAAAGCAGGGCATCTCTTTGCCCCGCCTGCTGCTTCTCTGCCCCCCAATCCTTGCCATTTTTCTCCCTGTGCAGTTCCTGCTGCATGTTTTAAAGGCAGAGGCAAAACTCGGGGTGGCTGGGGGAGCAGGGAAGCTGGAAAGGGAAGGGTTAAGTATGCCACGGCCCAATTTTAAATTGCCCTTCCCTCAGCCTCGGTGTAGAAAGCAAGAACAAAGGGGCCATCAGAAGATCGTTAGTGGCTTGTGGGCATCGCTGAGTCCTGAGAGTGTGAGAGCAAGCAAAGAAAGCCATCTCACTGGGCATTTCATTTTCCATGCCTTAGGGACCAAGATAATAATAGGTGCACTCTGAGATTCCCTGTGATTTATCTGACACTTAACCTGCAACTCCCTCGGAGAGTGAAGCTTCTGCTGATTCATGACGCTATCGAGCAAATTAATCGACAGTGTCTTCTGAAATTTGAATGCTCACTGCTCAACGCGCTGCGGCCAGCTGTGGGGGGTGCCTAGCGGAGGCGGGCTGGCCTGGCAGAAGCCTGCAGGCAGCTTCCGGCTGTGGAGCATCTCCTCCTGCTTCCCAGCGGCCCTGCCAAATTTTGAGCAAGGTGTGGGCAGAGCAACCTGCAAAACGCCTGCTTTTATTCACACGTCCTCTTCCGTGGCGGAGCAGTATGAGGCCACACAAAGGTCGCCACCTCCTCGGCCCCCTGTGCATTCTGAAAGAGAGGAATGCTGCCAGCGAAGCAGCATCCGTGATGGAATTGAATGGTCGGCTCCGGTCTGAGGGTGTGGGGGGCACAGGCTCTGCCCCTCTGCTCCTCTGGGGCAGCTGCTGGGTTCTGCCGTAGCCCCTGCTGCCTCACAGCCTGACCCCAGGATGCTGTGACTGAGCAGCTGGCTGGCTCAGGGTCCTGGGGAGCCAACAGGAGCCCTGCTCTTGGCCTCATCTGTCTCCTGCCTCAAGCTTGGACTCGGGTCCTGATACCTGAAGGAGCGCCTTCTCCCCTGTGTGCCCTCCTGCCCCTTGAGATCTGAGGCGGGGGTCCTTCTTCGGGAGCCCTCCTTGAAGGAGATCAGGAGGGTGGCTACCCGGAGGAGGGCCTTCTCTGTGGTGGTCCCCCGATTGTGGAATATGCTCCCCAGAAAGGTTCGCCTGGCGCCAACGCTTTTTTCTTTTTGGCGCCAGGCAAGACTCTTTCTATGGTCCCACAATTTTACTGTTTAATTGGTTTTAATTGTGATTTTATTGTGAATTGCTGGATGCTGTGCCATTTTGATCTGGGCTTGTTGTAAGCTGTCCCAAGACTTTAGTGATGGGACGGTCTATAAAAGCCATGGATGGATGGACGGATGCTCGGATCTTCAGCCAGAGAAGCCCATTGGCTAGTTTAGCAGCTCCGGAGGCTCCCGGCCCACCCACCTTGGACCGCTTTGCCTGCTTCAGCTCCCTCTGAGGACCTGAGCTCCTTCTCTCTTGGGCTGCATCACTCGCCTCTCGCCCTTTACATCCGTGGCTGCCATGCCAGACGTGGCCGGCCTGCCCGGGAGCCCCTGCTTGTTTCCGTGCATCCCAGACCCCGATTTTATTGGCTTGGGCATGTGCATTCCTGAAAGCAATGAACACATTAGCAGATGGCACATGGTTGCCCCAGACAAGGCGTGTAAGGACTGGGAGGTGCATGCGCTTCAGGAACGAAATGCCCCAGACTTGATCCTGAAGAAACCACTCAATAAGGCGCTACCAGGAGGGGCAGGAAAGGAGCAGGAAGGGGGGATTGTCCATGTGGTGATCCGAGGACCTGAAGGTTCCCAAGCACTGAGGAAAGGGATTTCTTAGACTTCTAGAGGCACAATATGGTAGCCCCGGAAGGGCCCAGGAAGGCCCGATCCCACATCATGAATGCCTCCAGCCCACGGCCTCGAGGCCATCGGCTCCAATGTGGCGCTGCTCCAGCAATCAGAACGTCCCTCCTGATGTCCGGCTGGAACTGTGGTTCCGTGGCCAGCACTCCGGGATGACGGAGAAGAGACCCTGGCCTTCCCCTTGGTGGCAACCTCTCCTGCACGTGAAGAATGTCCTCCTCAGCCTTCTCTTCTCAAGGCCAAACGCGCCCAGTCCTTTCTTCACCTTGGTTAACCACCCAGAGAGCCTTTGATGACTGGGCAGTATAGGCATGAAATAAATACAATAATGAAGACAGGCGGGCATCAGAGTATTAGAGGCAGAGAAGGGAGAAGGTTGTCCTGAAAGGTGCACAAGCCCAAGGGCCGCGGGGCTAGGAGTGATTGGGAGGACCCACACATAGGGCGCATCTGCTAGGAACCAAAACTAGGCCCAAGGAGAGACGCCCCAGATAATTCTCCCCAAAAGCTGTCACTCAGAACGGCATCGGAAGGCCAGGGAATGCATGGGGTGCTTGCGCGGAGCCGTTCCTCTTCGACGAGCCAGATGAGCCGGTGGGAGGACATGCGTGAGCCGGGCCTGAGCCAGAGAGGGAGGACAGCGGCCCTCGGGTGGACCGTCGTCCCCAACCCCAGCCCGCTCCTGGCAGCGCAGACGCGGAGCCCAAGCAGGCTGTGAGATGCCCCGTGCCGATCGCTTGCAGGGCAGCGTGGGCTCTGCGGGCAAAGTATCTGCCTGAGTTATGCCCCGCTGAGCCAGCCCGCCCAGTTCCATGCTCGAGGGTCTCGCAGAGAGAGCGGCCTGTGCGAAGGAGCTCGCCTTGCCTCCCACGGGAAGGCTGGCCTGACCCCCGCCATCCTGCCCTCCTTGCTGACGAGCCGATGCTCGCACAGCTTGCGCTGCCCACAATCCCCATGTTTCCATACGGAAAGCGTTCCAGCAAAGGGGGCTCCGGTCAGACGTTCTCTGGACTAGCACGGCAGTGAGGTCTCCTGCCCGTGAAAGGCCGCGAGGACAGGGAAGCGATGCCCAAGCCCGACACGTGTGTGCTGAGCGGAGCGAGTGCCTCCCACCAGCCCTGGGACACCTGCGTCCTGCACGTGAACGTCAGTGTGCGCGCTTGTGCATGTGAAGCTTCCACAGTAAAGAGCCCACACCTTCCTGGCGTGTCACCTGCAGCAACGCCACCTGCGGGCGTTTTGTCACCGCACTGCTCTGCTGCGTGTCACCTTTGTCCTTCTCTCACTGCAGGTGTTCCAGAGGAGGCAGAACGGGCTGACCGATTTCTTCCGGAAGTGGGCAGACTATCGTGTTGGCTTCGGAAACCTGGAGGATGAGTTCTGGCTGGGTGAGCAACCTTTGCCCTGGGTTTGTCCCTGCCTCTCTGGGGGAAGACGCGAGACCCTGCCCGCCACTCCCTTCCCACCGGCACCTGGCTCCGCCTCTCCCATGCGCTTGTCCTGCACTGCCCCTCCAGTCACAAAGGACTTCCTCCTCTTTCTCCGGCCCTGCGAGATCCATCAACCTGGCTCTAGACTCGCCAGGGCTCTCCGACCTTTGTCCCGCCTGTGCTCAGGGTGAAGCCGATGCGCTTTTCCGGCAGCATGGTGCAAGCGGCATGCGGCAAGACGAATCTCCCGCTTGCCTCCGTGGTTCCGGGGCCATCAGGCACCTTCGCTCTCCGCAGAAACCTGACCGAGTCATTTCATTCCATGCCTTCTGTGTTTCTGGCTGCTTCACCGGCATGCCGCCGTTTGGCAGGATTGTCAGCCGCTGCTGAGGGGAAGCCTAAGCCTAGGCCGAGGCTTTGTCCTGGGTTGGGTCCAAGCCCCCTGTGACAGGCAGCTGTGCAGCTGGTCCATGAGGAGGGGGCCCTCAACTCTGCCTAATTAAGCCAACGTATTAGTAATCCTTTCATGCCTGGAAACCCGGCAGTGTTTGCTCTGTGCCGGCAAAACCATGTATTAGCATAGCAACACGCAACTACATCCAAGCATCTTAAAAGGTGATTGTCAAGCACCCAACTCTCAGTTTTACTTGAACTGCCGTGCGTGAGGAGGTTATGCTCACAACCCCAGCCACATTCAAAATGAATGTGTCCCCCACACTCACCCTCTCTCTCTCTCTCTCTCTCTCTCTCTCTCTCTCTCTCTCTCACACACACACACACACACTCTCTCTCTCTCTCTCTCTCTCTCTCTCTCTCTCTCTCTCTCTCTCTCACATACTGGACTTAGCCCCAGAAAAATTACTCCCCCGGTGCCTTTGGGACCCTTTTCCTAATGCTAACTATAGCATCAGCAGGGCAGGGATAGGGCATAATTTTCTTCAGAGGTACAGATGAGGGAGGAATGAAACCCCCCTCCCTGCACACTGCCATTCCCATGATCCCCGCTGCCTAGAAATGCCCCCATCACCCCTCAGCAGCAGCAGCAGGGACACCGTTCCTGCCACGGAAGCCCCTCCCAGCCACGTTCTTCACACGCTTTCTGCCTACACCCTCTTACCAAATCTCGTTTGCCTAATTTTTCCCTCCAGGGCTAGACAACATGCAAAAGATCACGTCCCAGGGCCGGTATGAGCTGCGGATAGACATGCGGGACGGCCAGGAAGTGGCCTATGCCTATTATGACAAATTCTCCATTGGAGACTCCCGAAGCCTCTACAAGCTCCGGATAGGAGACTACAACGGCACAGCCGGTACCAGCGCCACCCCTGCCCCTCCCCCATCGCCTCAGGCGGGCCCTCTCCCTCCGGGCCTTTCCTTGCAGGGGTCCTCGCCACACTCCAGAACACGAGACAGCGACATGTCTTCCTCCGTGGCGCTGGAGGGGAAGGCATGGAGGCACGGGCAGAGGGCCGCTCTCCGTGGCAAAAGACCTTCAGCCCAGCCCTGCTTCTCCTCCATCTTCCCACCCTGAACAACCCTCGGCTCCTTTGCCCCCACCCAAAGCAGCCAGTTCTGCTCATGCACTCCAGGCACCCATCCATCAGATCTCTGCACGTCCCCACCCCATATTTCCAACCCAAAGCACAATCCACAGGGTGAGCGTCGGCCAAGCAGGGCTTCTTTGGAACATGCCCTTTGACCTCTGTAAGGATGTGAGCGCCTAAGTCCAGTCACGGTGGAAGCCCCTGCTTCGTGGCCCTTCTTTTCACGCCAGGGTTCCAGGATCCGGCCGCAGCATCGCCGCTTAAATGAGTGACGTGGTGATGCTCTGGCTCCAACTCTGGGGAGCTGCTTCCCCTGGAAATGCTGACCCATTTCACTGGCTCAGCTGGAGCGCTGGTCCGCAGAGGCTTCCCACTGCAGTTCTGGGGTCTTCCCATGGCTGGAAGTGTTCAGCGCCAGCCTCGCTCTCATGTCAGGTCCAAAGCTGCTAACGCAAGGCCTCATCTTAGGCTGAGCCAAGACAGAAGGGGTCCCTGCCCCATCGACAGCATCCCCCTTGCAGGGAAGGTTTCAGGAGACCTCAAAAGGGGTCCCGGGGCTCTCCAATGTGGGACGCGGTCCCTCCTGCCACTCCACCCATTCATTCCGATGGCGGCGAGTGGGGCAGGAAAGCGAGGTGGCAGAGGAGCTTCACCCCTGCATGCAGGTCCTTCCGTGAGAACCTGCAGTCGGACGTGGGAAGGCCTCCACGGAAGCGCGGCCATCAGTGGTGGCCGCAGTGGCTTCAGTGGATGGTGCTGCAGTCCAGCGGCGGATGGACCCTGAGAGGCCATCCTTGACCCTAACCAGGCCTAAGGGGTGCCTTCTTTGCAGGGGATTCCCTCACCTACCATCAGGGGCGCCCCTTCTCCACCAAAGACAGAGACAACGACGTCGCCGTCACAAACTGCGCCATGTCGTACAAAGGGGCTTGGTGGTATAAGAATTGCCACCGCACCAATCTCAATGGCAAGTACGGCGAGTCGCGACACAGCCAGGTAAGCACAGGTTCGGTGGGGGTTCTTGCAAGGGCTGCATGTCTGTGATATGTTTCATGCGCCTTCTTGCGCATAAGCAGAGCGCTGGCGTCATGGTGGTGGCTGTGAGCTCGGGCTGAAAACCAGGCTGGCCTTGCTTCGAAGCTCATGTCCATCGAGAGCTCCCAGGCGGGGTGGGATACGGTGCTCAGCCTCACCTCCTCAGCACCCTGGGCAGGCACTGGACTGGCCCAGCTCCTGGGCAGGATGAGGGGAACTAAGTGGTGTCATTTGGATGTCCCGTTTCAGACTTCTCCACAAGCTTGTCTTAGGCATTGAATGGTAGTTTGCATGTCTCCAGGCATGTTTGGTTTTTCTCTGTTTGATTAGGGGTGGGATCCAGGTGCCAGGTGTGCAGAGGGCATCTCTCCACCTTGCCCAGGACATCAGGTGCCTGCCAGAAAGCCAGTGGGAAGGTGCCGAACAACAAAATGTCACTGGAGTAAATTGCACTGAGGAGATAGAGCGACACGCCCACTCTCACTCTTATAGGGCTATTTTAAAGGTTCTTAAAACAGAGCCTTTCCATAAAACACACAGAATGAGATGGCAGGGAAAACGTGGAGATCTTTGATTACATAATTTTTAATTATAAATAGAAGTTTCCACACATTTTTGAATATTCTTTCTGCTTCTCCTTTCTCCACCAAAAACCTCAGCAGAAAGGGCTCGAATTAAGCTGAGTCAACACAACTGGGAACGGGCTGTGCAAAGGTCTGTTTCTGAGCCACTGGTTTCCTATACGCAGGAACTGGGGAACACGATCCCCTGGTACAGCCAGAGGGGGATATGATCCTGGGGGGGGGGGGAATGCAAGCAGAATCCCATCACCTTATTCTGCATAACTTTTAAGTCCTGGTCTTGCAAAAGTCTGGCTTGGCGGAGACCACGGTTGCCTCATCTGGCCCCTTCAGGACTAAGCCCCTTCCCTTTCTCAAAGGTTATTTTCTATATGGGTTCATTACAAAATGTGGCCTTCCTATCAGCAGCCTGAACTGGGAAGTTTTCACCATCTCGGGCCTCCGTCTCCTCTTTCTTCTGAATATCTAAACCGGCCTGGATGTATGTGATGTGCTAAAATACCATGGCTGTAAACACCACCAGCCTTGTACCCGCTTCCTTGCACTTAAAATATTTCTGCAGGGAGAGCTAGGAGGGCAAATTTCTGGGTGAGAACACCTGCATGACCATACCTGCTCCTCTCTCCAATACCCTTTCCTCTGTTCCCAACCCCAGGGTATCAACTGGTACCACTGGAAAGGCCACGAGTTCTCCATACCCTTTGTGGAAATGAAGATGCGACCCTATAACCACCGCAACCCCTCGGGGAGGAAACGGCGGTCCGTGCAGCTGTGAACTGGCAGGAAAGCCTCTGGAAAAGAGCAGCCCTTTCTGTCATTTGTTTGTATTTTATAATATGGAACGGGAAGAGCAGACGTGACCCTGAGGAGCCCACCTGCTGCCCAGTGGCCGAGGGAAGCCGTGACGCTTTGGCCCGAGAGCGACCTCGAAGCTTTGCTGCCATTCCCAGTGACCTGTCGAGTCCTCGTCTGGCCCCAGCTCCATACCAGAAGAGCTGGGGGTGGTCGCTCGTACTCTCTCCTGAAGCGATCAGGAGGCGGCTTCACCGAAGGTTTTCTCCTTAACCTAATTTCCGTTGTAGGTGCTTCCTTCACATGCCAAGCCGCTCCGTCATGGAGCAGGGAGGTTCCCGCCGCCGTATGCATTCGGCGACCTTGTCACCACGAAGCCTGTGGGGTCGGCACATGCCCCACTTCCAGGACAGGGACTCCAAAATTCCCCATCAGCTCAGGCCAAGTGGGGGAAGCGCCACCCTCCCTGGCGTAAGGGGCCCAGGCCTTTCTCACGCACCTCAAAATAGCAGCCTCCAACAAAGTCAGTTAGTACCCAAGGGGCAGAGGCCGCTCATTCCAACTAACAGTAATCTGGGAAAAGTTCACCCCAAACATTTATTCCAGTTCACAGGCATAAACTTTTCCTCTGGAAGAGGCACTTAACAGGGAAATAGATAGGGAGCCTCGAAGACTCCACATCGTACGCCTTTGTAAAATTGCTTCGGAGTATGGCAACCTCCAGCTCTTTGTTGGGGGGAAATGAAACAGGCACTTCTGGGCACGAAGCAAGCGAGAAGCACGGCCCTGACCTCCTTCCCAGCCTCACTGGCACCTGCGTCTTGCTCGTCCTTGCCCAAGCGCTGCCTTTGGAGAGGCAGACCAGCCATTCTGTGGGAAGCCCCGGCACTCACAGTTCGTTTTTCCTTTTTACTGCAATGGGGACAAGCTGACTCCTTTGCAGGGGCATCTTTTGGGATGCAGACATGTCCTCGCACCGTCCTCCCCAACCCAACTCGCCCCAGGCCTTTGCTTCTACAAGCCGGTCTACTCTTCAGACTGCAGCCTCGGCAGCCGAATGGTTTTGCCATGAAAAATCTGTGAAAAGAATTGTGGAACGATATATCCGGGGCAGCTCTGTCTTTTTAAGGCGGCGACCCTCTTCGTGTCCCCCTTCAAACTGCCCACGGTGAGAGAGCACCCAGCTAAATGGTCTTACACACACACACACACACACACACACTTACATCTGACACATGGGGAACGAGCTTGCTGGCAAGGAGGTCATGCCAGAACTATTTCTTGGAGGGATGACCTCCGGGTTCGGCGTTTCACTCCCTTCAGTAAGGACTAGGGCTCAGCAAGGTGAGCGTACCAGGTTTACCTGCTGTGTTCGACGTGCTTGAGATTATTCTGTCTGCATCTATGCAGCCTTTATTGGCCCAGAAATTAATATTCTAATTCTTTTCGGTAGCTGCACAGCCTCTTCCAGGCAGAAAATCCCGCACGGGTTCTCCAAACTGGTGTTTCCACACTGCATTGACCATTAATTTGCACTCCCATTCTAGAAAACACTTGACGGACCACAGGAAAAGAGAGTGTGAAGCACGGCAAAGCGTCAGCTTCCATCCACGCCTGTTCCCATTTGCATATAGTTTGTCCTATCGTTTGCAGAGTTCGGGGGTGAGCTCTCCAATAAGGCTTGAGAAAGCTGTTTGAGTGGGTCACTTATAGAAATCAAAGAATATGAATGATTAAACACAGAGAGATAAAATCAAGAGGAAAGGGGATTGAAAACCGATTATATCTCTCTGATTCCACAATAAGTTTTTCTTGCTGTTAAGCAGCCCCCAAACAGTAACGATGAGTAATAAGGGCCTTTGGAACACACGCTGCACACGAGCCAAGGGGGTTTAGGGCTCCAAGAGCAGAACGGCACAAACCTGCCACCTGGTGGCAACATCAGGGACATGCAGTGACTCGGATCAAGCCCGGCACTGCCACCCTCCTGCTTTGGATCCACCAGTCAGGGCTGGATGGACGGCCTGTGGCCCTCCACATCACGCTGGACCGAAATGCCCACCCGCCTTGGTCAGCAGTGGGCAATGCTGGACGCTGTCGGCCAAAACATCTGGCGCCCCACACGGTGGCCCCCCGGGCCAAAGTCCTCTGTCTCACAAGATCCTAGTCCGGTGCAAAGGAGGACAGAGCCCCTGCCTTCGGAACCCTTGGGTGGAAGAGGGGGTGCTTTGCTGTTCACCCCCTCTTCTACACATGCGGCAACCTCTTTTGCCTCTGGCCACACAACCTCCGGTTCTTCCCCTGCAGCTCCACCCTGCGTGGCCATTAGCTCAGCAAAGGCGGGTTCAGGGCCATGTTTCCAAAATCGCCTCTACCTCAACCCACAGATGAGCACTGATGCCTCCCACAGCAAGGAGCGTAGGGAAGCCAGCCGAGAATGCCTTTTCAACACGAAAAGGGCAGGAGGTCTATTTTAAAGGGCAAGATACCAGGCTCTCGGTTGTTTACAACACCACATCTAGGTAACGGTGAGTCCAGGTACAAGCATGAGGACGAAGACGGATTTAAGCGTATTCAGAAGCAGGAAATGCAGCTCGTCTCGCCCTTTGGCAGCATCTCTGGCCTTGGTCTTGAGCAGTGCACAAGATCTGTTACGTGTTCTGCTGATCGTAATTGCATGGAATCCCATGACTGAGACAAGAGCCAAAAGAGGCACCAGAGAGAGCGTTCTCTCAGCCAAGCGAGGGCGACTGGGCACAGCGTGCGGCCCCCTTGAGTATGATCCTGGCTCCCTGCTCCTCCCCTTCCCCCTTGGACTAGGAGAAAGCTCACCTCAGGATGATATTTAACTGCCCTATTGGGGAGTGGCAAATAACCCTGTTTAATAAACTATGAGCATCAGCGGAGCGCTGGCTCCACCAGCAGTCAAGATTCAGCAGATGGAACAGACAAAGCAGAAGAAATTCGATTTGTGAGAGCACCGTATAGTATTTTGAGGCAACTTGCCTTCTTGCATGCCAACAGGAACGTGTCACGAATCACAAAGGGCTGAGCGCCCCTGTGCTGTGGCCCTTTCCAGGATGGGTCTCTCGTTTCTTGTGGCTGCGGTAGTCAGTCAGTAGAAGCCAGTCACGGTCAGCTCCATCTCCTGTCTCGGCTTCCCCCAGCTGTGTGCCTTCCAGGCATGTTTGGACTGCAACGCCCAGATTTCCCAGTCAATGGACCCAGTGGATGAGAGTTCTGGGATTTGCGGTCCAGATGCCCCTGAAGACCACCAAGTTGGGGAATGCTGACCTATCTGATAGGCATTGGAGCAAGAAGAACTGCTTGCAAGACTGGTGGCCATCCCTTTAAGAAGTCCCCATTACTATGGTGCAATTTTTCAGCCTGGTGATCCACCATTATCAAGGCATCCATCTTTGCACTCAGATCTTTACAAAAGTCTTTGCCAAGGCAGGCACTACACTGGATCCGACCAGCCACCATAACTCTACTCCTATTCGTAACCTGTTCCTTGCAAAGATGGAGAGCAGAAAATCCTGTGACACCCTAAATGCTTTCACATCTAGGATCCCCAAAGCCATGTGCATTTGAGCAAAGCACTGATGCTCACGTACGGAAAGATGCGCTTGTCTTCCACAGAAACTCCTTGTGCCTCCATAGTCTACCATCCTATGCACATACATGGGAGTAAGCACCACCGAATTCCATAAGACTTGCTTGTGAGTGGCCATGCACAGTGTTATTGTGTATGTCTCCAAGGACACTTAAGCTGCTTGAGCGACGACCCACAAATGTGGCAATTCTGGCGTTTCCTCTCCATATAGACAAAACTATACTTTTATGGGAACCCACCCGCCATCCAAAAAATAAGCCCAAATAGACCCTGGAGATGAATCCTGGGCAGGTTTTTTAAAAAATTGCATAATGCTTTCAAAATAATCTAGGTGACATCCACAAGATGGTATCATTTGGATCCGCTAGCCCCAAAATGCAGTTCCAGCTGCCCACCCTCCTCCCACGTGCCAATCAGTATGTCTGCAAGTTCTGGAGAAGGAGGGTTTGGGCCGAGTCGGTTTCCCTTGAGCCGGCGTGCCCAGACGTGTGGAACAGCAACTCCCACTGTCCTCAGCCAGCCGTGCCCCACACATCCGGCGGTCTTGAGACGTGGAGCGGGGGTGCTAGAAGCGCTTCTCTGAATTCGGTCTTGCATGCTGCTGCTCTTAGAACACTTTCCAAAGGGAGCTGCCACTTCCTGTGCCAGGAACGTCTGTCAGAAAAGAGCCGTCGTGTGACTGAAGATGGCCTTTCCAGATTATCTGTCGATAAAGTCCATGACAACCCAGCCGGCACATCAAAGTTGTTCTTGGTGGATGCCTTCGAAAGGCCTGCTTCATTGCTGTGCCCTCCACATCGGTCCAGAATAAACAATGCGTTTTTGCATAGTCTGTATCTCTCAACAGCCCAAAAGGCAGCATGGGCCAAAAAGGGGATGAGCCTTCCCAGATGGAAGGGGAATCTCTGTGAGAAGCCACTGGGATGCCGGGGTTAACTGGGCAGGTTGGAAACGGCACGCCCGTCCCTTCCTGCTTCCATGCCTGCCTGGGCCTCTCATCCTCTCCGGGGCCCTGCCCGGGGCCCTGCGGGTCTTCCCATTCACCCTCAGCCCCTCGTGCCCGCCTCCCCCCGTTGCCCGGCAAAGCCCGGCAAAACAGCGGCGTTCATTCCAGCACTCCTGGGTCAACAAGGGCAGGCGGGAGGGCTGGGGAGCAAACAAGCCCCAGTCCTGCCGAGAAGGCGGAACTCAGCCACAGTTCCTCCCCTTGGGCTAGCCTCACCTGTGGATGACAAAAAGATTGTTGCGACTCGGGCCCCTCCCTCCGTATATGCATTACTCTGGACTGTGCTTACTATTTCATAGAAAAGGCGTGTGAGCCAACAGCTCCCTCAGAGAGACTCTGTTGAGCTAAATCTGACTGGTAA